TGTGTGTGTGTGTGTGTGTGTGTGTGTGTGTGTGTGTGTGTGTGTGTGTGTGTGTGTGTGTGTGTGGTGACAATGAATGAAATGCCACCCAGAGAAGAAGACAATATTATGGATGGCGCCATAAATGATGAAGAAGATGATTGTCAGGGTCCAAAACTCAAACATAATTTGATAATGCTATAAAATGGAGGAAAGTAACAAATCCTCTCTTTTAAGAAGGTGAAACCAACTTGAGTGCTATATTATTAATCACAAATAGTTGCTGATTCATTTAAATGACTAATTGTCTCAGCTACTATTATGTTATATGTACAGTGCAGTATTTAAGTACTTGGACAGATAGTCCTTTTTTTGTCGTGTCGGTGCTGTACCCCAACAGATTTGAATTGAAATAAAGAACATGGCTACAAAACAAACAAAAAACTGTAATAAAAACATCCTCATGCAGTACTGCCGCTTTCAAGTAGTTTTGGCCAGCCAGAGTAATTTATAGGTCGTACTCATTTATGTAACTGTATCTGCAGTGTTTTGGCTGATATGTGATACAGATAAATGGCTGCTGTCCATATGGGATATTATGTTCCACGCAAATGCACCTTGTGCACTGTTTTTTTTTTTTTGTATAAAAGTCCTTTAAAATCCTTTCTACTTGCACTTAAGATGGCTCCTAATCATTATTTCTTTATATATTAATCTGTTGATTATGTTCTTGAGTAATCTGTACATCATTTGGTCTGTCAAATTGTGAATAATGTCCACAATGACTTGTTTTGTCCAAACCCCAACAATGTTCCATTTGTTATCATTTAAGACAAAGAAAAGAAGAAATTTCTGACATTTGAGGTGCTGGAGACATCATTTATGGGATTTTTCCTTAAAAAACGACTTCAACAATCAATTGATCTTGAAATTGGCTACAGACTTATGTTTTGTCAATCCACTAATTGATTAATTAAAGAATTGTTTTAGCTCTACTTATGCAGCATATGAATAATTTACTTGAACAAAAAGAGTAAAATATATAAACATAATGTAGTCTGATGAAATAAGTGATGTGTGTCTCCTCAGAGACTGTCACTGGTCTAAACTTCCATCTAATGAAGCAGAGTGTGTGTCATCTGTGTGTGTGCAGGCTTTATGCATGACATGCAGTACAGAAGTTAGTCTTGTACAGGATATGGCGCAATACCTTGCTACCCTGTAGTGCAACATTAGTGTTGCATTATGAATATATGATCCCGGCCACTTGGGAGGGAGATGAGGCCGCACAGTTTAACTATTAATAACTTCATGCAGAAGCCTTTGCTGCTGCTGCTGCTCTGCTCTGTCGCAGCACTTTGCACTGCAGCTCACATCTGTTATCGCTCTGAGCAAGCAGGCCTTCTAATCTCAATGGCCACGGCAAACGAAGTTATGCTAATGTTTCTCCGCTCTTCCTCCAGAAGGTGAGGGGGAAGTGTTGGCGTGGTGTTGTTTAGTCACGGCCATGACTTCTGCACGGTCCAGAGAAAGGGCGGCTCACACGGTTCACGACCTTCTGCTCAGGACATCACTTCAGGATATGTGCGATGTCGTGTTATGCCCTCTCTGCACATGTTCCTTTAGAGAAGGCTCTCCCGCTTCTGCAGTTGTCATGTGTAGTTATGATGCAAAATATAAAATACTTTAATTCAGAGTATTTCTTTTGGCATGAGATTTTTTAAGGCTGGCAATCAAGGCTTCAATTTATCATTAAAATGATTCATCGTTTAGTCAATGTCAAATATATGAACATTTTAAAATCATATTTCCCCAAATCAAATGTTCAACCAACAGTCCAAAATTTCATATTTTGTCAACAATGGCATAAAACAAAGCAGCTGGAAACAAAGAATAACGAATGATCAGTTATGGAAACAAGAACAAAGCAAGACACACAAGATTTTCACTGACAGTTCTGTTTTATACCATAATAAAGCCAGACAGAGTAACTGCAGACAGAAACTGTGGTTCGACAGCTTATCACTTGATGAAAAAAAACCTGCTTTCCCCTTTCTGAGAGACTTTACCTGCTTTTAGATTGGCTCTTTATCTTCTTTCCGTCTTCGTTTTCCGACAGATGTCCCTACCTGGCAGTCCATCTGTCTCCTGCCATCCCAGTTTTCGCTGCCCTGATCTTCCTCTTTGTCATTGCCATGTTGTTGAGGACTAGCTTCAGTGACCCCGGGGTGCTGCCACGGGCTCTTCCGGAGGAGGCCACATTCATCGAGATGGAAATTGGTAAGTTGGTCAGCGTACCTAATAAGCACTAAAAATCTTTCTCTGTGATATTAAATATTCCTGACTGACTAAGCCTCATCAAAATAAGAAAAAAATAACTCTGTATGTATGTCACATCATCTTTTTCCTGCCGATTTCCTGCCCACTTCAAATTAGTCAGAAGAGCACAGGGGAAAAAATACTTACTGACGTTGTCAGAAAACAATGTGTACATGTAGAATCTCATCACTCATAGTATGAAGAACATTGACAAAATAAGAGTTTGTGGCCTTTAAGGATCCTCTTTACTAGCTCTCCACATATTTAACCCACACTGTGTGGCAGCTTCACATTCTGTGTTGTGATAGTGTCGGTGCTTTGAGGAAGACATATCTTAAAGCTGCTGTATCAAATGACCATACCTACAGAGACAATTATAATCTGCATCTCCAGTGAGTTTCAGCTCATTGTTTAGCCGTCAGGCTGCAACTTCAGTGTTTTGGGTCGCTCTCTATAGTGCTTTTGTTTGAAGTGTACACCCGTGGCTGATTACTGTACACCTGCCCAGCATCAAACAGCAGACAGACACAGTTAGAGACCAGCTGGTGAACATGGTGGACATTTTAGCAGCAGTCAGAGATATTTTTAGCAGTGAATATTACATTCATCAGGTGGTCAGAAACGTGATAATGTTGCTCCGTAACTGCTGGATGTGTAAACAAGCAACTGTTTGCTAACAGGTGTGCCACATCATCTCGAATATGTCAATGTTGTGTTACTTGTTTTTGCTGCCCTGTTATTGCAGGTAAGTATTTATTTGTATTTAGGGAAACATTCAAATCCATGACATTATTTATGGCCATTATATCAAATGGAATATTTAAAAGTTTATAAACAAATCATGTCATTTTGAATGAAATATTTTGATTTATTTATAGAAATAGAAATATACAATGGTTGTGTGAATCTGAATGTTTGATAATACCAATGTGTTGCTGTTAAGAGAAGAAGAAGCCCAGTAGCATCCTTATTCATGCACCTTCAGTAATACTGCTGAGATCCACTGCAGATTGTTGCCAGATTTGAAGTAGCATGTGTTCTCAAATCTTGTGTGATTGCAGCCCAGCTCCTCACCTTGAAGTGTGCATTATGCACAATCAGTACAGATAATGCCACGAGGCACAAACCCTTATCTACATCCATTCAAATGTCCAACAGGACAAACGCTTATTACAGTTCATGTGCTGTTACGTCATCATCATCTAGGTTGTTGTTTTTGTATAAAATGACTTCAAAGTTAGGTGGAAGTAGCTGAAATGAAAGTATTTTAGAGGCATAAATACTTCAGTATATATGCTAGTTAAGCAGTGAGCAGGCAGCCTCAGTCCTGTTGGTTTATTCATGTTTGTTATTCTTTATGTTGCTGAAGGTTGGGTGTGCTCACCCGTGAACACAGACCTCAGTCTAACACACATTCATTACAAGGGATCCTGTTGTCTTATTACACAAAACAAACTACACGCTGCATCATAACGGCAACAAAGCCTTTGCAAACACAAAATAAACAAGCCCTGTTGTCTTTGGTGCATTTTATTTTTTATATCTGGAGGAATAAGCTTTTATTCTGCAATATTCCTGCAACAGCCCCGTCTGCCTGTGTGGCTGTTCAATGTTCACTCTTTGTCTCTGTTAAAGATTCACAGTGTCCTTTGGCCATCACTCGTGCTCTCCCGCTCCAGTCGAGAGGCATGGGTGGAGACTGGTCTCAGCTCATGACAGAGGAGGGCTGTAAAAGCAAGGCTGAGGCAGTCGGTCCTCTGAGAATATGGGTTAGCTGGCAGCCAGCGCCGCTCTCATCATTCTGTGACTCATACCGCTCACAGGGTGACAATGGCTCTCTGCTCTGACTGGCTGCGATGACCTGTACAGCTCCTGCATGTAGTTTGTACAATGACATCTCATTTGGAATTATGTATGTGAATAGAGCTGCAATAGAGATGATTATTTTCATTATTGATCAATTATTTTTTTCTAGTTATTGTTAAGTCTTTTAGTTATCATCATCTCAAGTCCCGAGAGAGCCAGGTGATGTCTTCAAGTTTACTTTCTTTGTCAGCTCAACAGTCAACAACCCAAAGATAGTTGATTTAGGGGAGTAAATGAATATGCTAAATATGTGTGCTGAGACCCACTACAGCACTGCAGTCACCTAATGGCAATGGATATCTCTTTTTTGGGGGGGAAATGTTTTACATTCCACAAAACACATCTCACAAAATGGCAAGAAATTCATCACTTAAACGCTAAAATGGGTCACATTACCATGTGAAGAATATGCACTGAAGCAGCCTAAATGAAGCACTTAGTTTAACAGCTTCCATCACACACTTGTGGCTCTTATACAGTATGTTTTTTTTTTAACGTGTTAGGCTAGCTGCTTGCTGTTATGGGTGTGGGCATGCTAACAGATAGCATCCAGAAAAGGGAGCAGGTGTGGATCTCATTCTGAGGCTGAGGCAGGCCTGTTGATGAAGACGCTGCTGCCTCGATGCTCTGTCCCCTCAGCCTGTTAGCCACAGTTCCCGAGGGGGAATGCTAATGATAGGAGAGGCATCCTCTTGGAATACCTAATGCCACTAGCAGACAGAGCTTTGCTACCCGCGGGAATGATGACTCATTCACATATTCTCGGCTGGTTTATCCTGAAAGCCACTAATCCTACATTTAGTAGAATCATAATGCCGGGCAGTTTGTGCTGTTGGATGAAGGATATTTGTCAATCTGTATGTCTAGATGTATTATGGATGGTTTTCATTCAAGCTTGTAAGCGTGGTAGTTCACTGATTTATCTTTGCAGGGGCTGTTTTGTTTTACATAATGGAGAATGTGCATTCACAGAATGAAATTTCCACAAATACTACATCTCTTGTATGTTTCTCCAGAAAGTCAAATGAGCATGGTCGCTCTTTTCTATTAACTCCACGTTCACGCCTTCCTAATGCAGCATGTTAATGGTAGATTTCTCCTAAACAGTTACTCTCTTGGGAGATTCCAGCCAGCAGCCCTCTGGTCATTAGCCAGCCTCTCTACCGTCTCACCTAAGAGATAGTTCAGTGTTGGGAAGGTTATTTGAAGGCCAAACAGAGCAGGATATCGTGTTATAGTGGTACAAATACATAATACTAACTGCTCACCAGTGATTACACATAAATTCACCATCATCAATACTGAATCGAGTCAATGTTGTCATTCACTGACACCCTCAAGGTTCAGCTGACAAGATTTACGTCCTATTTTTTTTTTTCTTGTCCTTGTCACTGAATCTCACATTTCTCACTGCCTGTTTAAGAGCTGTACATTCTCAGCTCATAATGATCATTGTTTGTGATTGACGGCATAGTTTGTGGGGCTGTTGTTGTATTAGATTGGGATTCGATAACACCTTCATTGTGTGATCAAGATTGCCATCAGCTACTGATGAGTGTCGTTGTGTTTCCACAGAGGCTGCCAATGGGAACGTCCCCGCAGGGCAGCGGCCCCCACCTCGAATCCGCAATGTTCAGATCAACAACCAGATCGTCAAACTCAAGTACTGCTACACCTGCAAGATCTTCCGACCACCTCGAGCATCTCACTGCAGCATCTGTGACAACTGCGTCGGTAAGAAATGTCCTCTGATCTGCCGTGTGTGTGTGTGTGTGTGTGTGTGTGTGTGTGTGTGTGTGTGTGTGTGTGTTGCTGTGTCATCTCTCAGCCTTGCAGAATAGCAGTGATTTGGCTTCTGATGATTGAGGAATGCGTCTGAAGGGAGTGTAGACTCATAGGCGATATGAGAGGAGACAGTGGAGGCTCAGTGAGGGAATAAGTGCTCAGTCATTGTGAACACTGGTTCATCTGTGTCCACCTGCTGTAGAAATATACACACACACACACACACACACACACACACACACACACACATACAGTAGTCCAAGCATCACAGCAGCATGCCTCAATCCCTCTTTTACTGCAGTCATATCTTTTCCTCCTCAACCTGACATTGTTTATAGCGGTTAAAGTCTCTCACAGATCTGCAACATAATAAAAAACAGCCAAACTGCTTCACAAATTATATTTGTTTGTACCCGGAGCCTTCTCTGGTTAACATATTATCAGATGTCTGATGTACCATATAGCCTGTAAGTATTTGGACACTTGTTTAAGCTCTGTATGCAGCACATTGGAGTTAAAATAAAACAATAACTATGGGGTGAGGTGCTCACCTGGCTCCAGACCTCTGAATTGCTGTACACATCAAATCTTCTTTTCAAATGGAGAAAAATGCAATTTAGTTTCATTACCAAGTTAGTAAAGTGCTTTCAGCTTTAATGGGAGGGTTGTGACATCCATATTGAGTGAACAGCGTAGAGGATTATTGTCCTGCTGCACTCTATATGCAATCTAAAAACTGGGAGGGGCGACTAGTTATGGTTACAAATGCTGTGTCTCAATTAGGATACTTGTTAGTACACTTCCATCTAGTACACTATGTATTTACTTGGGTAGTGCATGAATTTAGACTCCTTCTTCATGGCCAATTGCAACTGGGCGGAGCATTAGCACCAATATTTGGTTGTGATTGTTGCTTGTTTTTTTTACTTAATACTTAAAATTAAATAAACATGAACGCTAGCAGCTTTGTGACTCAGGACTTGGTGGTGCTTTGAGCTAAATGCTAACATTGTCATGCTAACATGCTCACAATACGACGCTGATGTTCAGCATCTTAGTTTAGCATGTTAGCATGTTAAAATTTACTAAGCTGCACCAAAGTCATTTGATTTTCAGTCATTTGTTCATGAACCAAAGCATTGGATTCATTGAAATGTTGACCTGATGGTGGCACTAAAGGGAAAGTCTGGGGATCACCAGAGTCCGTAGGATTCATCTTCTGGAGACAATAAAAATCCATTGATGAGTTCAGAATGAAAGTAGTGGAACAACCAACTGGCAGATGCTGCCATCCCTAGAGCTATGTTGCTAGTGTGGCTTAAAAAAAGATTAGGTTGACTTTATAAAAAGGTTCCTTAAGTGATTCCTACACTCTTTACCAAGTATTTATGTTTACACTCAGAGTCAGCACTGAATCTTCTCCACTCTGTAGATAAAAACACAATCCATTTACTTTGACCTTATATCTACGAGCTGCTTCACGTCTTGCATGCCTCGATGTGTACTACATCGAGGTAGTGCGGCAGACACTGCACTGCACACTGCACTCCCTTTTGTCAGTTTGACCCTGCCTTGCTTTCATCTGGATCTCCTCCAAATTATTGAAGAGGAGAGGCAAAGAGGAAGTGATCCCTATATTTAGACTGCAAGTTTTAGAAGCAGACGCACAAAGCACTAAAATACTGGTGTATTTATAACACTTGTCTGATTTCCAAAAGTGTCTGTTTTCTAAGAAACTTCTGTGGTACAATTGACATATTTATATTGTGACCTTTTGCTCTTTTTCACAGACCGTTTTGATCACCACTGCCCATGGGTAGGGAACTGTGTGGGCAAGAGGAACTACCGATACTTCTACATGTTCACCCTGTCGCTCTCCCTGCTCACCATTTATATCTTCACCTTCGACATCGTCCATGTGGTGATGCGTGAGTATCACGTCAGTCGTTTGTTCAAACTGAAGGAACAAACCTGTAGGAGGTTAGTTCATGAATAGATAAAAGAATGTGAAAAAACAAGAAGGATGACCTGTGACACAAATACACCAGCAGCTTCTAGCACATATGCAAATACATGCACATGTGCTGAAACTATGACCTAAATCAGACCAGGTTTTTCCTGTAGCGTGACATGACACGCAACAGCAACCGACAGCTTGACATGATTCCTCCTTCATCCTCATCCTCCTGCTTCATTGTTCTACCCAACGCAGACAGAAAGAAGATAGCGGGACAAGGAAACAGTGTCTTTCTAGTCAGGATAATTAGCTCTGGGCTTGTTATCTTAGTACTGGAGCAATTTGTCTTTTCAGTATAAAAAAGGGAGAGTGGGATTTTTAGAAAGTCTTTTCTTTAACTTCTCTCTGTGTTGCTCTGTTCACAGGTTCAGTGGATAATGGCTTTTTGAACACTTTGAAGGAAACACCTGGAACATATCCTTTGAAGCTCTGACCACAGTATACACTACAAGAAACAGCCGCTGTGTGGGCCATGTTTGTCAGATTTCCAAGAATAGAAATTTTTCAAGTGTCACACCCTGACTATGACTGTTCCCTAACCATCTCCCCAAACAGTGATTCTCAAATAATATCTTATCATCTGTAACCCGGCACAGCAAGCCCATCAAGCTTGGATTTCTTAACATGTCCTTTTGAAGCCTTTCCAAAACCAAAAAACACAAGAGCAAACGTGTAAAGATTGGATACAAGAAAGTGTTAATCTGCTCTAGCAAAAGCTGTAGCCATTAGCATGTCCAGCTAATAGTACATAGCTACACTAGTAACCAAGTGTCACTTCCAAGGCCATGAAGTACAGCTGATCACTTCTTCACCACTGTGTGAAAGCCAGTCCTGAAAGTTATAAGAGTTTAAAATGCAGGTTCATCTTTTTCCTAAAAAACATTTCTCTTGTAACACTGAAAGAGAAAAAAAAGATCAAAAATATGAGCAATTATAGTAAGCTATGCTGCTAAACAGGGTCATGTCAGAACAAAATATCTTAATGATGATAATACTTGGACTAGCTAGCTCTACACTGCAATGATTATTGTCTTCCACTCAGATTACTAACTGGTGAGGATGCTCACTTTGTGCCTGGCACATGTAGCTTCAGCCTCAATTATTTAGCACAAAAACATGTTTGTAGCATGAAGTGCACATTTAAAACCCCTTTTACAAGATTTTAGTTTTGTAACAAATCAGTTGGACACATGAAAAAGTCATGAGTCATTGAGCTGTTAGCTTAGATTGCTGGCAACGGTTGTCATTTCAGTCAGCATAATTGTGATCAATGGATAGAAATACAAAACTGATTTGATAATAATGCCACAATTACTGTGGATCAACCGCATTATGGAAAGTAATTAAGGGGTAGCGGGCCTTATGATCAGTTGAAAGTAATTTGACATTTTATTGATGGAACTGAAGTTTCTTTTTGCACAGTAAAAAGGGTAAAAACCTCCTGCTTTTAATCCTTAAAAAAAAGATACTTTTTTTTAGGCTTTGGTTGCTTTCACTGACCGTCACTGGCTTTAATCATGTTGCATAATTGTCTGCAGTTCTGCCGTCACTTGCTGTCCACTGTTTAATCAGTGGCCACGTGTCAGGCAGAAAACATCTGTTGCTGTTTTCTTAACGCGAGTCCACTGTGCTGGAGGTTTTGGTGTGTTTCTTCACCCTGTGGTCAGTAGTGGGACTGACCGGCTTCCACACCTACCTGATCTCTCTCAACCAGACCACCAATGAGGACGTAAGTGCATCTTACTGCATCTTACTGTCGTGTGTTCTGTTTGTTTTAGATTTGAATCATCTTGTGAGGCACAATGCTCTACTTTGCATCTAGTTTGTTTAGGTATCACGCTGTGATGCAAATGAACCAAGACTTGTGAACACGTGGACCAACAGGATAACTCGTAACTCATTCTTTGGTTGATTTTGTTTTCTTTTATATGATGATGATGATGATGATGATGATGATGATTATTATTATTATAATCAAAGTATTGTATTCCAGTTACATGCATTTTTTAAATCATGCCCTCTTAAAGGCTTTATTTGTCTTACCAACTAAAAACCCTTGGATATGGGTGTCCGTAAAGACTTAATATGCCGAGTTTGTTTCATGTTGAGTTCCCACCACAAGTGAACTCTCATTTACACTTCTCATTTCAAGTGTTCGGATAAAATCCAGATGTTTTTATCACACTTTTTAACATTAACAATTCATATGCACATGCATGCAACCCTCTTGGCCAGGCCACACAGCTGATTGCATAATGCACCTGAACCAACCAAAATAAAAGAAAAGAAGAAGAATAACGTGTAGTTTATCTACAACACTAATAGTTTTGCTCGGTAGCTAAAAACTATATATGTAAATAGAGACTCATACATTTACACCTTTTCAACATCTGTCTAGAAACACTAAAATGCTTCTTGTTTGCATTTGAGCTTCTTTTTTTTCTTTTACATCCGATAGTTCTGCGATTTGCAGAGACGCATGAAGTGGTTAATGTAAATAAAGGAGAACTGAAACCCAAATATTCTGACACTTTTGACACTGCTGATTGCTGCTAAGCTGAATAGGTACAATTATTTTTGTACCATAAACTTCCAGGCAGAGCAAAGTCTTGATCAATCAAAGAGTGCAGATACGTCTCTAGCCCTCACATATGTTTTAGGATTAGATTTTGATTAATGTAATTGTTGACGCTATAATAGTCATGATGAAGATTAAGTACAGTTTTAGGAATATAAGTGTGTAAATGTTGTGATCAGGCAGCCTGGCTTCACGTGTCTGGAAAGACAAACATACATCTCGGAGGAATAAACATGGACTTTCTAAGACTACAGAGCTGTTTCCTTGACAACGGCTCGGCCTCTTTCAGCACCGAAGGACGGCGGGCTGGTAAACTGTAGCTTGTTAAACAAGGTTGTTATATTGTAAACAACAGTAAAGCAAATACAGAAACGGTTAAAAGAAAACCGAGATTGTGGAAAAACAAGATCTCACCAGAAACTAGGAAATCTTTTTATAACTGCAGTTCAAACAGAGACGCATGTGTGTCACATTTGTTTGTTCGCGGGAGGCAAAATGGATCACACAGAGGGACTGACTGATTTATTTCAAAATGTATAATGTGTCCTGTTTTTACCCAGTTCAGCCACACTGAGACCAAATGTGGCCGATACATCAAGAACACTTTTATTCTGCTCAGACTCTGAGCCATATGACAAATCGACTGGTTTAGGTTTGGACTCTCTGCTCAACCTGTCGTCGTCGTCGTCTAATGATCTAAAAATAAGCATGAAGAGCTTAATAAAAAGAAACAATGATAGAACTGAGCTGAAATAAGAACAAAACAGACCTGCTGTCTCCTGACTATAGCTACATTTAGAAGACGCTTGTGAGGCTAAATGAGGAAAAGAAGTATCGATTGCTTGATCGCAGTACCGTTGAGTCATTATTGAGTCACCACACACGCACATGCAGGCTGATGTGAAGCAGAAGATGAGTGGTGGTGATGCAGGTGGATGAATCCATCATGTCGTCTGTGTATGCTGGCGTTAACGGTGTGTACACGTTTGCAGGCTTTGTTAGCCTAGATCTGACTGCAGAGACTCTGCTGAGAAGCAGAGAGCAGCAGTGATGGTGGTGGTTGGAGGTTCTAGATGGCTGAAAGCAAGAGAGTGCACTCGTACTTTGTTGTAATGATTAATTTATAATTCCCCTTTTTCTTTCCAGTGGGAAAGCTGGCCTCATTTTTTTCATTTTACCAGTGATGAAGCTCTGCAATGTGCACCTACAGTAGGCCTACAGTGTAATGTTGCTCCAGGAGATGAAACAATGGCTGTCAGCCCGGCTGCTTCGATATCTGCGATTGGCCTAACAGATGCATCGATACCTGCAGGGGCTGGGCATGCTCCCAGATATACTGCTGTGGCAGAAAGGTGGGGGGAGGGGGAGTGGGTGAGAGGAGACAAAAATAAAGGGGAAGATATAAATGGTGGAATAAAGGCGAACAAGAGAAAGCACCTTAAGTGTTGTAGCTGCTCTGGTCTCTCCCATAGGATACCACATGCTCTGTCAACTGTGTCTCCTGCACACACACACACACACACACACACACACACACACACACACACACACAGATACACACAGATGGTACACGTAGAAGTACCAGACTGTTGACCTATATGTACTGCAACTAAAAAAAGCAGTTTTCTTTGACTCGCCGGACGGTCAGTCGGTATAAATGTCAATCGATCTACTGCATGTTTTTTTCATGCAATCAATCTCGCACTTAAGAAATTACGATGGAATAATTGATTATTGCGTTTTTTCACATCAATGGTAATATAACAAAACAATCAAATTATTAAACATTAAAATAAGCAGTAACTCTGCTTAAAATCAAATTTGTCTCCTTGATAAAAATGATACGGTTATATTTGCATATTTACTACAAGGAGCAGCGTCTATTGTATTCTCTATTCTATTCCGTCTGGATTATTCTAATATGTCCTTATACATTTAAAAACATGGTACATTTTTCCATTTGATGTTAAAATGTGCCTCCTGTTAGACTGAGATCACACCTACAGTACAATGCGGAATGACTTAATTTATTGCTCGGGGAATCCTTTGTATTAATTCTCAGATGTTTCAATGAATTATTAAAGTTGTTGTCATCTTGCTGTGCACCCATTGGCACATAGAGTTCCCATTAAACTAGGAATCATTAGATCCATGACTAGATCCTTTTTAGTAGGTCAAAGCCAAGCCTGTGGGAATAACATCTAAAAAAGGAACTATGCTTTTGAATAAGGTATAAGCACAGGGAAAATCGGGGGATGTGTTTTGGGAAGGTTTGCTGCTCCGGTGATGAGTGTTGTGCACATTTTGTTTTTGCCCAGATTAAAGGATCCTGGTCGGGAAAGAACAGAGTCCAGAACCCGTACAGCCACAAGAACTTAATCAAGAACTGCTGCGAGGTGCTCTGTGGGCCAACGTACCCAAGGTAGCTCTGTCGGATTAAGAATCGGACATCCTTTTTCTTTAATTTATTGTCATGTTGTCTGTATTAGGTTTGTGCTTGTCTTCCTGTTCTTATCAATGAGCTTTATATCAGTGCCTTTGATAGATTAAACTTGTAGATTTGTCCCCTATCCTACACTTTGTCCTGGCGAATAACGAGCAGGATGCAGTTAGTGACTGATCGCCTTGTCTCGCTCTCCAGCGTCTTGGACAGAAGAGGACTGATGCAGGAGGATTCGCCTGTTTCTTTTACGTCTGCTGCACCCTCCATCTCCAGCAGCAGCAACCCAGTGTCACAAACCACGGTGAGAGGACACACACACACACACACACACACACACACACACACACACACACACATATACTGTAAACTCTCCTACCAAGCACCTCTCTGGCTCTAAAGTGGAGTGAGGCTGCAAAGTGCAGTAAGGCTGCAAAGCACAGAATAGTGAATACAGAGCAGAAATGAGGTGTGTGTGAGAGAAAGTGGAAAGCACATTTCTTATCGAAGTGACATTGATAATCCATCTTGAGACACACGGAGGTGGAGCCATTTTGTGGCTCTTTACATACCTTTTGTTGGGATCCATTTAAAAAAAAAAAAAAAAAACCCAATTAATTTGTCATATTTTCTGCTAATGGTTCATTAGCAGTGTTTGTGCTTCTTTTACATATAGAATGTAAAAGCTATAGATGACGTGCAGCTGATGTCACAAACGCGTCAAACGTATTGAGCCACTTGATGTTGTGTCACAGCCACCACGATCATTTTTAGCAACATCCACTGGCTGCTTTCTCATTCTGACGTTTCACTCATTCTATGACATTGCTTGTTGTTTGCATGTATTCATTCTTGTGATGCTTTGCTGCAGCTCAGTTTGTCAGCGTCTCTTTCTCCTCCGCCTACAGAAAACCACAGCTCCACTCATCCCCAACGAGCACACACCTGATGATGCCAAGCCGAGCATCGCCGCTTCAGCAGAGAAGAGCGACTCCCCCAAAGAGGAATTACCTCCTGCTCCAAAGGTCCCGCCCCTGGCTTCACCCGAGACTGATGCGGAAGCAACCCTCGCCAAGGAAAAGGCCCAGTAGCTGCATGAGGGGCGTGGCTCTTGCCCTAGCCACTCCCCAAGTATCCTGCCTGGTCAGGAACTGAAACATTAATAATCAGTGTGTGATTACTGTGCAGGTGACTCAGTTGTTCTCTGACACCCACACTACATTCAACCAGAAGAGCGGAGCTTCTGCGGCAGCTCCTCCCATTCCCTCCTCTCCCCACCAGTAGCTGCAGAGCTGTTTGTTTGACAGTTACTCCTGCAGGAGGAGGAGTGATTTTAATGGAAAGTCAGCAGCTTCCTCTCTGTCTCCTGAACACTGCATGGAAAAGACACGCAGAGGGAGAAGCTGCTGGAAGAACTGCGGAGACATAAAAATCTCCAGGCGTATGACATCCCCACAGGTCACCAGTGGGTCGCTCTGATAAAATTGATTTAAAATTGCATAATGACATTTATTGTAAGAGGCCAGTTCAAATATATTCCTTGCAAGTGTCTGGCAAAGACAATATTACTTCTGGACATGTATACAACTTCATACATACAGTTACTTTTCTGTTGTGTGCACATGCCCTATGCAAACCAAGAGAAGGCTGGACAAGCAGCTTTTTGATGTGTGGAAAGAAGTGATAACACCTTTTGAGTCTTTGAGCGCACATGATGTCCATGCAGGGGAAGACGTGCAAATCCTTAGCTGAGATATCCTAAAGGCTCCTTCCAGGCAAGTCAAAATCTACCTTGTATTCTGATATTGCTGCATTCAGTACTGTTGTTACTTACGTGCATCTATTTTTTAAAGTGATCCAGACCAACGCCTGTCCTTCCATTTTTATAAAACAAGGATGTATCATGACGTCGGTGCTCTGAAATAGATGAAATTGCTTGATGTGCAGTTAAAGTCTTGTATTCAGGAGACGCTCAGCCAGAGTTCCAGTGAGTGAGAGAAAAGGCCTGACCTCTCATGATAGTAGACACTGGTAGTAACAGTGCCTTATCACAACAGTTGCACCATCAAAGGCAACTGAGGTCGACCATCAGAGAATCCCTTGATATCCGTTCTAAATGAGTGTTAAATGAGAAATGCAAACGTTTATACACCAATTAGTCCAGTGTTTCCCAACCTGGGGGTTGCAAGATAAATCTTAGGGGTCACGAGATGATTTAAGGAACAGTTAGACATTTTGAGAAATCTCTAGTTTATTTGCTTTCTTCCAGAGAGTTGGATGAAAAGATCGATACCTCTCTCATGTCTGTATAGTAAATATGAAGCTACAGCCAGGAGATGGTTAGCTTAGCTTAGCATAAAGACTGGACACGGCACCTCGAAAGCGCACTAATTATTATGCTAAATCAAATTTGATTGACTTGAATTTTTTACGGATTGAACAAAAAAGTTAGTGATCTTCAGAGGTGCTGGTAGATGCATGTTTTAACTTTAGACAGAGCCAGGCTAGCTTTTCACCCCTGTTTCAAGCCTTTATGCTAAGCTAACCAGCTGCTTGCTGTAGCTTCATATTATCGCACAAGAGTCGTATCGATCTACTCATCTAAATCCCAGCAAGAAATCAGATACAACGTGTGTCCAAGTATTCCTTTTACCAGGATAGGCATAATACACATACACCTAATACTACAAAATTGTGTACTTATGAGATACTGTAAATGTTTGTCCTTTTTTAGAAGAAAAAAAAAATACAATCAGAGAAGATAAAATGACTCTGGTTGAACAGGTCACACTCAGTAGATGTATGAAATAGCTTAGTTTCAAGGGGCTCACAGGTCTGAAAGGTTGGGAACCACTGAATTAAACCTTGTGAAACAAAAAACTAAGCAAAGCCATTGTTGAATTGTACATAGTTTTAGAAAGTAAAGATGTACTGAAAACGTTGTCGCAGTGGGGCTGGTGTTAATTTTGCTGCCTGTGAGCTTGAGCACTTCCTCCTGCGAATCACACCAGAGCTGATCTTCCTCCGAGTCCTCCCTCTTCCTGCCATCTTTTGCCTCGTCCCTCGATACCAACATAGTTTACTCTTCTCCTATTCCTTGCATCTTTGTAGTTTGTGGCAGGCTCGTTATCTGCAAGAATAAAGCCAAGCCAGAGAGATCCTTTCTTGTTTTTCAGCGTTTAATGTGGCTGCTGGAGACTTTATTTTGTTTTGGTCACAGATTGCTCGAGGGGGCAGCATCCACAGGAAGGAAAGAGGGAGAGAGAGAAAGTGAAGCTAATTCTTAGTATTTAAATGATGTTAGCTGATAGTGAGGGTTTGTAATAGTGATTGTGTTGTATGCAAGACAGTTGGTGTTTGTGAAATATACTTGTGTAGAAGTTCTAGTGTGTCAACAGCTTCGTATCAGACTCTGAAATCTGACCGAGATTATTTATTATTCAGACACAATTAAAATCAAGACGCATTTTCTCCGTTGGATTTAAAGACAGAGTGGGAAAGGCAATTAAGGATCCTGAGATTGTTTACAGCCGTTTTATTATTTTTATTGTACCATAATATTGGAGCAGTTTAAACCTTAAGAGATTCCACACTTTGAATGATAGAAGATGAATCTAGGCCAGTTTTAGTAATTATTAGTTCATCTCTGCATTGTTTGGTCTATATAATGATACATTTAATATAAGTTAGTAACTTTAGTCCAAAACCCCCAAATATTCAATTTATTATCAGAAAATATTTACATTCGAAAAGCTGGGACTAGCACACTTTGGGCATTTTTGCTTCAAAGAATAGCTTTTTTGCGGTCGACCAATTGATTAATTGAGTAATAATTTCAGCTCAAGATTTATCTCTACACTAAGAGGAACACAGGAAAGATAACTGACGCATTGGAAGAAGCTTTAAGTGTGTGGCAGTATTGTGTCTGTGAAGTATAAAAAAGAAGTATAATTGCTGAGTATTTGTTTGGAAAACTTAACAGTAAAAAGTACGAAACAAAGACCAGTTTTTTAATATTAGTGGCTGAACTTTCTTTGTAGAAAGTATTTGAAGACGGTGTGTTTGATAGCTGTCACCGAGAAGCAAGAATGTATGTGAATGGTATTCGATAAAAGAAGGGACGGGAGATTTTAAATTGAAAGGGACGATATAAGTCTAAGCTCTGAAGGTTTTGTAGACTTAAGATCTGAGCTGATCTCTTGTACTTCTGATTCCTGTGTTAAAATGCCATGACGTGGTCAGATCTGAATGCTCTGATCAACCTATTACATTGCATTATGTATACAGATACAGTACTATACCATTGATGGAACTCTTAATTTATGATCACTTTGTTAAGTATCAGCACTGTGATTATCTGTATTTCATTCAATTTACTTCACTTCTTTTTACATGATCAATGTGTCTGGTAAATAAACAATGTTGTCTTATTATTATTTGTCTTTGAAAAGAAGTTTTATTTTTTTAGAAAACGTTTAACACACGGCTTCAAATAGAGAAAACATGAACAAATACAGAAACGTGTTGACAGTAGAACACATCGACGGAAACCACGGGACATTACAATGTGATACACACAGTTGAAATTAATGCCATGAAATGTCAAAAAATGCCTAAAAAGTAATAGTAGGAATATAGTTTGTCATACAAGTCATGCATTTTTACAACATACTACAGTACTATACTATTACTTTTTATGACTTACTATACTATGACTTATTTATTAATTTGACTGTAGTATCAGTTTTTAATACTTTTTTTTTTATAACTATATACAACTATTTTTTTGACTTATTCATGCTATATTATACTGTCAAAGAAAGGTGAAAAAAAGCCATGGGGTAGTATTTAAAAAAAAAAAAAAAAAAAAAATTTCGGAATATAGTATGTCTAAAATATTCTTTAACAAATCACAGTATAATCATAAAAAGTACGTAGAGTAACTTGTAAAGTATGTCCGTAAAGTTATATTTCAGTATGCTTTCTTTAAAGTCATAGAATAGTATGTCGAAAAAAGTCCTAATAAGTCGTAGTATATCAAAAAAGTCATAATATAGTCGAAAAAGGTAATTAATAAAATCATAGTAGGCTATAGCATGTTGTAAAATTTAATATTATAGTATGTCATAAAAAGATAAAACTCAGAGTATAAAATACTATTTTCGACATCCTACATTGTGATTTTTTTTAAACATACTATACTGAGACTTATGAAAAAAATCATAATGTAGCACAGTAATATAGTTTGGCAACTTGAGGTTCAGCGTCTTGCTCAAGGACGACATGAGGAGGAGCCTTAAAAGAAGACCAGCTCTACCTCCTGAGCTACAACCCCTCCACCAGAGAGTTGTGTGGCACAGTTGATGAGCTGTGGAAACAAGCTAGTGAGTGAGATTGAGTTCAGATTAGTAAATCAAAGTATTTACTATTTACTATCCAGGAATTATAGAGATTGAATACGAAACTTGATTTGATTAGTTGCTATTTTCTGTTAACTTTCTTAAGATAAAGCATTTAAAACTGGAATGACAGTAATTCACAGGTGACATTATCAACATCTCAGTGAATTTAGTTTTATTTCAATTCTATTTACAGCAGCTGTTCACAACCTCATGATGTGACATAAATCAGTGAAAAGTACAACATTTCACAAGTAAAAGCAAACTACTGAAAGTTACAATTCATTTCAAGTTACATGAAAAATACTTTACATTCATAATTGTGTATAAGAGTGAACGACACGAAAACTTTTAAAACTGGGTCATAAATGAAGAGAATGCTTTGCTGGTGCCATCATAAACAAACACCAAATATGATTTCCTCAGGAGGAAACAACAACATGCTCATTTAAGCAGCGCTCTGAGCCGTGGAAGACAAAGAGAAACTCTACCGCTCGCTCAACAGCGCAAGCGCGCTGTGGAAAACAAAGACCATCATCTTCATACAGTATTTGAACATTACATTGTGTTCCAATCACCAGTCCATTCTCTTTTAATGAAGAGGCATTTTCATAACCTCCGTCCACAGAGTCCCTGAGAACCAGGAAGAAAAGAAAAGAAAGTATTTTCCCATTACTTCTCAAGATCCTTCGTCCACCGTCAGCTCCTGCAGCTGCTCCTGCAGAGCGTCCAGCTGCTCACTTTGCTTCTCCTCCTGCTGCTCTTGTTTCTCCGCCTCCTCCTGGTTTGTCTGCTTCTCTGATGCTTCATCCTGGAGTCCCTCCTCCGTCTTAGGCTCCTCACGTCGGCTCTCCAGGTTCTCAGAGCTCTCGAAACAGCCTGAATCCCTCGGCTCCTTGTCATCCTCCCCAGATCTGTCCTCCTCTTCTGGCTCTGACTCGTCTTCAGCTTCACGGGGCAAATAAACCACATTTAAATACTGACAAACAATCCATCCTGGACTCTGAGAGGCTGTTGTTCAGCTTCAGAGACAAACTCTACAGTCAGATAGTGTGAGCCTTTTTTTTAGTAATTATTCTCCAGTAATGTCCAGTATAGGGGACACTAGGAATGGTGTTTTCTGTTGTTCATGAATCAAAGAAAATTTCCATCTTTATGGGAATTTCAAAGTAAAATTCTGCTGAATAGAATTAAAATCCATTCCACTTAAAAAAAAAGTTCCACTTTTAAAAGACATTTAAAATTCAGCATTGCAGTGATAGAGAGTGAAGTACTTCTATTATTGAATATTTCCAAATAAATAGTCAATCTCTGGAAAATACGCGGCATTATTTTTAATCAGCTCCAACTCTTAAAATAATCAGTTAGAGAGAAAATACTTCATCAAAACAAGAGATGGATGCTAAATTGGAAAATGTCATTATAGTTGAGAGCCAGGAATAATTGGATTGGTAACAGATGGGTAAACTAACAGATAATAGAAGTAGATAGATAATAAATATTTAATCCTAAAAATAAAGTGTTTTTGATGTAGCGGACATTTAAAAATACCTGTTTTTAATGAGAAACTGAGTGTAATGCTGTGCAACTGAGCCAGAAAATGATCCAATTATGCAGCTGAGGAAGAAGAAATATGATGGAAGCATAAAGATATTTTAACGCTGCCTAAACCTGAAGTCTGAGAGGCACAAAGTAACACTGTAATTAGCAATACTGTGACATTTCTCTCAGATTTGAATGAAATTCTGGATTAGAGTTTTATTTTATTTCATTGCAGGTGTACAGCGGGTGCACCTACAGTCTCTCAGCAGTTCAGAAGTATTCAGGATCTTGGAGCGCTTGTCTGGGTCTGTGATGTTCAGATCGTTGAGGTGAGACTCCTTCAGTCCTGTAAAGTCCTCCAGGCTCTGGAAACCATGCATGGACAGCAGAGAACTCAGCTCCTGAAACAAAAGATCATAAACACAAACATTTAGATAACAATATCCACCATTATGATGTACAGTAGTCCTTCTGCAGTGTAACACTGTGAATCTTACAGTGAGACCGATGCTGTCCAGGACCTCCTCCAGTGTTTTGGGTTTGGATTTGGATCGGCGGTTCTTGCTATTGCAGCGTCTCCTCCTGGCTGGAGGGGTGTCATCGGGCATCAGGTTGACGTAGATGAACTTAAAGGAGCCCATTTTGTTGTTGAGCTTCCCCGTCCAGGTCCCTACAGGAGGCTTATCAATGATGTAGATGATGTCTCCTTTCTAGAACAGAGATGACAAATGAACGCCAGGCTCAGTCATGCCGGTGTTATCGAAGAGGAGATAAAGAGGAAAAGGCGAACAAAAGAAAGACCTTGAGAGAAAGAACCGTTTGGTTGTTTATTAAATCACTACAAATATAACTATTTATTAGTGCTGGGCAAGTTAACACGTTATTATCGCGTTAACGCATTCATTAATTGACGCCGACAATTATTTTATCGCGTTAACGCATTTTTTTATTTTGAAAGTCCGTGGAGGAAGTCTTCAGCAGACAACGTTGATGCAGGGTGTTGGGAGAAGTATAGATAAACAAAACCAAGACAAGCTAACAAATGCTACAGAGAAGTGGATACAAACTGCAGCCGGTTAGAATACACAGTGTTACAACGTGCACCAGCTGTTGCTCTCCCTGGAGACTACTGGACATCACTGCGGTCAACTCAGCAGACACTTACATGTTAGTGCACCTATATGCTGAAATTCACGGTAAACGCATTCAAACGGCACAGGTCGGGAGCGAGCGAAGGACTTTGAAAGTTAGCGGAAAGATTAACGTGAGACAACATCCGGTTTCTTCAGACGAACATCCGGTTTTCAGAATAAGATGCCAACAAAGTATAAATTATATTCACATTAAGTATAAAACATGCTACCTGCATCTCGTGAGTTAAAGGGAAAATATACATATGATTTAAGAATGATATAATATAAGAAATATGATCGCTACTGTGTAAAGGGAATACTGCTGTTAAAAAGCACCTGATGTGTTTTAATAAGTGTTTGCAAACCAAATGTTGTTCACCTTTTGTTCATATAGCAGTACTTTTAAAATAAAATTCATTATTGAACTTTGCCATAACAATGCGATTAATCGCAAAAAATCCATGCGATTAATCGCCATTAAATATTATAATCGTTGCCCAGCACCACTATTTATATGTCCATACTCTGAGCTGACCAACTAAATAAAATACTTGTGTGGAAGCATGGCAAAGAATTTGAGAAGCTGAATGACTAAACACTAGACATTTTTATCCCCTTTAACAGACGTTCTCTCTCTGAACTCTTGTATAATTTACAATGCAGTGAAACAATCACTACTGAAATTATCTTATTTTGTCGTGTAGTTCAAACTCTGCTTTGAAGAATATGAATCAAAACGACCCGTCTTGTTTCACTCGGTTAACAAGCTCCCTGGAGGACGACTTGTCGAGACGACAGAACAGGCCGAGGGCCGAATCAGCGAGGACGACTTCTCCACGAGACTCACATTGAGCTTGAGTGACTCCACGTCGTAGGGGCTGGGAGTGAAGTCAGTGTGGACCAGAGCGCGACCACAGAAAGGTCCATTGTAAGAGACGCTGTTCTCCTCCAGCCTCATGCTGTCCCGCTGGCAGTATCCACTGTCCAGGCTCTGTCTGTCGCTACCTGAGGTCAACAGACAAGAAGCTGGGTCAGATTCATCCACTCTATGTCCACAGGTTACCAACACACTGTAAATATCTGCATGTGAATAAATGGAGAGTGTCAGTGTTTGAGAAATTACAGAAATGTTTTGATGGTACCTTCTTACTTAAAAAATGAATTCATATTTATGGGTTTAAGTCACCCCTATTAGTTCTGTATTCAACTTATATTTGGGGAATATTTATGCTCTAGGATTTGGAACTATAGTTCCCATAATGCTTTGGGGGATGTAACCAAGAATTATAATTTTGCCATGGAGTCAGTTAGCTGCAAGCTACAACTTGAACTCATTTTTTTGGCCTATATTTGTTTACATGTTGGCCCTGTTTCATAAGTATGCCAAATTAGCGTTCTTGTTTGTAAGGTACCCTAATAGGAGCGACCCCAAATATTCAACGATATACGATGTAAGGGGCCTTATTCGACTGCGAATCTCAGTTGAATTGTCATTGTGACGGGAAAATGTGGTAATGAAACGAAAGGATCATTCAACATTCATAAATAACAACATGGCTATTTCAAAATCAAAGAATAGGCCAACATTTATTAATCAGAGCACTCACATAAGAACGTAGCACTATCAGAGCACTAGATTTATTTAGGATTCATTAAGGAATCTCTAACATCTAACATCAGGGAGTCGCCATCAACCCTGTCGACTCCCTTCTGTCTGTGGATTGCTACAAGTTGCTACTGTTTTTACTATTTGTATAGATACATAAAACAAAAACTGAGGGGGATCAATGAGCAAGAAAATATACAAAATATACATGATTTGATCAGTCCACTATAGGCAAGACTTGATCAGATTTTACTATGTAAATTCTTAGTGGGAGACACTCCTAGTACCTAATGATATACAGGAAACTACCACTGAATTACTTTGATGCTGAAGAAAACTTTACAAAGTGATGATTCTTAGCCAAGTTCTGGATTTGGAGAATAATATTTTTTACCTATATGGTTTCTAAGCAGATTTATGGACATTTATTTACTTATGGACGTCAGAGACAACGATATCCTCTTGAAGTGTTAGTAACACTAAAAATAAAATATATACAAACATGTGTATCATGTATATATATACTGTACATGATGGACACTTACTGCCTGAGAGCTGGCGGCTGATGAGGCTGGGCGCTGTGTCCTCTGACCCCGTGGAGCACACAGACGTCCTCTGTCCTGCACTCAGATCTGGAACCCAATCACAAGAGACCGGAGACAGCTCCTCGCCACTCTCAGCCTGGAGACGTCACAGGACAGCAGTGCAGGTCAGAAGTCGCCTTCAGTTCACTCAATTAATAATGTTGATTTAAAACTGAAGGTCGCATAATGACAGCATAACGCTTTACATTTGTTTTTACACTCAATTGTACTTGTTTGACTAATAATATTCTACTTAATATTACTTTCCACGATTGAAAATCAAACTTGAGACTTCCTGCTTTTCTTTTCATGAACACAGTACATACATTTGTCCACTAGATGGAGACAACTCAAATATTTTACAACAACAACAGCTCTATGTAAAGATGTCAAGGTGTGTTTTTGCATCAGCAATCCTCTTTAGTTCATTTACAACTATTATAGATACTGTTTTATAGTTTTAGAATATACTTTTACGTGTTATTACCGTGATCATGTCACAGTAACTTAAATGTAACTGTAAACAGGATTTTACCCCCTCTTCAGCCAGAGCCTTCTGCACCATCTTGGATGTTTTTCGGGTCATGGTACGAGAGATGACGTTGCGCCATTTCTTTCCCAGTTTGCTGCCACTTTTCACAGCTTCCTCTGGCGTTACACCCTCCGCCAACTGAGATGAGAGTAAAAAAAATCATTATATCGACAGGTGTTGGGAGATGAGAGGATATGTGGTAAAACCGTATTCAATTTAAGTAAAATGATTTTAAAACATGCGAAAACTATGGCTTTGACATGACTTAAGTTTCACGGTGGTTCCCAGTGGCATCACTGTCAAGTATTCACTTCTCACAAACTAGACAACATACAGATTTTGCGGTAATTGGGTTTGCATATTCACACACATTGCTGATACCCACAAGTGCACACACTCACTCACACACACACACACACACACGCACACTTGTACTCTATTGTGGGTAGGCGCTTAGCTCAGTTTAACTCCTCTGCAGACAACACTGTTGGCCCAGTAATTAAAGCTAATGATGTTTTCAGTATTTTTATGGAGGCACTCAGTTACAGCGCAAAAGGAAAAGTCCCCTGTAATTTGCAAAGGAAAATAAAGCAGAAGCGCTGTTCGATTTAGAGAAAATAGAGCGTTTATTTAGAGGGATTGTTCGTGATGTAGTAGACTATTTAAATATTGAACATCAATCTGTTGCTTCTACAAACTGGCAGCTAGGGATTTATTTTATGAAGGTGAATGTAAATAATAAACTATAACAGAGTGTATTATAGCTGGTTTTTGTGTGATTCTGACACAGTACTCAGCACTCAAATGCTCAAGTCTTTCTCTTACAAAACTAAAATGTGTTTTTGATTGGGCACAAAAGTGCAGAGTTAACTGTTAACTCAAAGAAACAGAGAGGGATGAAACGATTGAACATATTAATACAAATTCTTAAAATTAAATTTAAAAAAAGCCTAAATTCTCTGGGGGAGGACCTCCTGGTTAAATGCTTGCTGCTTCTGCAACTCTCTGTCTGACACGGAGGCTCTCTGCTTGAGAGACTAGCGGACATCCTGTCTACATGCTGCTGTCATCTGGGCTCTGCGCAATGCTTCTCGTTCTTACTTCCTCTCTTCTTCTACGCTTATTTGTCCTCCAACTTCTACTCAGGGTACGCAGAGTGTTACTGGGAAGTTACTGAAGTTCTGTGAACTTCTATAAAACATTTTCCACACGTGCGGCGGAGTGTTGTATCAGGAAGCACAAACTGTGCACTTCTGTAACGGCCGTTACTGATAACAATTTCTGCTTGCCCTCTGTGAACTTCTTTGCTCTCTTCTGGATGCAGCGTCATTTATGTTCTGTGTGACGAATGAGGAAGAATGTGATAGAACATCTTCCATTTAGGAACTAAAAACACAAAAGACTTTGGGAGGTATCTACTTCTACTTTTCAAAACATATATGTATTGTATGTTTGAAGATGTGTTTGTTTTTATGAACATGTTTGAGAGGAGTCCAACTTACATTCTCCTCCAAGGTGAACTCCTTGTCTGATGCAACAGGAGAAGTAGGTTTGTGCTTCATAAAATCCTTGAAGCTGCTGGACCTCTGCAGAGTGAGCTGGAAACACAAAGAATTGCATTCATGTCAAAATCATAATGACAAAAGCCAACAAAGGGGCAGTACTAAACTTTCACCACAAAGCAAACGGTGTAAACAAAAAGGCATTAACATGTGGTTTTTACTGAAATGCAACACTGATAACGCTCATCTCACGGTTGAGCACATATGTTGTTATCTCGTTATCTCTTCAAATGTGTGAAAAGAGGGATTTCTCAGAAGGAACAACTGTCTTTCCACCCAGTTATCAACGATGAACTCATGAGTCTGGGTCATGTTGCAGACAGTAATGTGTTCTGTAAAATGTTTCAAATGCAGTTGAGCAGTTTAGCAGCAAACACAAAGAAATTGACGTGTGTGGCGATTCATGTCAGTCCCTGTATAAAAATAGTGTGACATTATTTTAAACTTATCAAAGACACATAACAGGAACAGAAACATCTGAAAGTGTTCTGTGTAAAACAACAACTATAATTCATCTTTGAACTCAATGCCAGTGGAAAAAATCTTACTGTAAAATCCCCTATTCTGAATCTGCACGATTCATTTTCAGTATCGATTTGTCTGCCAATTATTTTCTGGATAAATCGTTTGATTAATAAAATATCAGAAAATAGTGAATACTGCTTCTTTCACTTTTCTGACACCCAAGATGATGTCTCAAAATGTCTCCAACCAATTCAATTTACAAATCTACAAAACTTAATCATCATAATTGAGGTGGAACTGGGAGATTTTGGACCTTTATGCTTGAAAAAAATGACTTGAACGACGAAGAATCATTATGAGAATATCTGCCGATAAATTATCTGTCGTCTAGCCAATGAACTGATCCTTTCTGCTTCAGCCATACTTTTAAAATTAAGACCAAAAAGCCAAGTTTTTACTCTTTCGCACCCTAGAGTTTCCTCCAGTGGAAACTTTTCGTCTAATTTTCCATATAACCACGTCACTCTGTATGATTTTATCGCAGCTCATCCTTCTCGAATCTTTGTGGAAACCACAGGAAACAGGCAAAGCATGAGCGACTGCTGGCAGACAATTGGTGCAGACATCCAGTCAGTGCTGGCGGCTGATGGTCTCTGTCTGAGTCTAACCTGAATAATTTAACCACCAGTGCAGCCGAGGGAACAAATGACCTTTATCATTCTGAGGCTATTACAAATGTTGCTGGTAAATGTCTGTTTTCCCTGCCACAGTTGTGCTCCCTAAAAAGCCACAAAGCTTTAAGATAAATCAATCTTTTATTGCCGCAGAGTAGTGACTCGTGATGTGGAACAATGATCCTCTCCAGCCTCGATTATCACCGTTGATAATTATGTATTAGGAGACGATTGCCGAGGACACAGACAACGAGATGTGTAATGAAAAGGCGTGAATAGGACGACAGGAGGTGAGATGTTAATGGTAAATAAGGGCACTGGTGTCGAGCGTAGGAGGCTCGCTCTCATGTTGGCTGCTGTGGACAAAGAAGCCACAAAGCTATGACTCAAACTACATCTGCAGCGATGATTCACCCGGCCAGAAAAGAGGAACTTTGCTTTTGTACAAGAATATGTTGAGGCCAGAGAGTATTTAGACACGTAAAAGTTGTTTAAACTTTAAGATCGTACTGAACTTTTAGTTGTGTGTGTGGGTTCGTTCAGCTTCACCACAAAAATTTGCACTAACTTGAGCAGACATCCTGTGTTGACACGATGTGCACACAAAGACAACTGTACTAGATGTTGAAATGCAAACATCAACACATTCAACACTATGTGGTGAAGACCTCGTCACGATTCAGTGTCTATAATATTTACATTTATAGAGGCACAATTTGAGCAAATTCACTTTAAACCTTCCAAAACAAACTAATAGCCAAAAACTCACCTTCTTCTTCTGCACTTGCTCTTTCTCCGAGGCATTGGAAGGCCTTCGCCTCAACATTTTCTTCTTTAGTGGTCCTTCAGAGATCTCTTTGGATAAAAAGCCGTGAGAGTGATACACCGGTCTTAAATCAGTGAGGGTTTCTGTGACCGTGCTGTCGCTGCCAACGTTGTAAGATTAAAAAAAAAAAAAAAAAAAAAAAGGTAGAGTTGCACTCTGCTGCAGCCGCACACAGTGCAGAAGCTGAGAGGAAGTTACGTGGCCACAGAGAAACTGGAGGCAAACCCTTTTTTTGGTCCTCTGGTAGGCCAGGGGGTTTGTTACATGTATTTCTCAGTCCTGCGTGCCACAAACTCTCTGTGGCAAGCAGAACTGACACACAAAACAGTTCATGAAAATGTCATCACAATTCAGTTTTGACCGTCACTACAAGCTGATAGAGGTTCAAAAGAAATTGTGTATATTGCTTAATACAGGTCATTTTTTAATGTTATGATCAATCGACCACTGGTTACTCATATTATATTCATATGTTCAGTCAGATAAAAGCTCAGGATTAAAAACATCAAGTGATGCATTGTCACTGTTTTAAAACATTTCTACTCTCGCAGTCATCAGTTTTCAACTTCAGCAAAACGTCAAGGTAAAAGTTAAGTCAGGAAAGATCTTCATCTTGCAACACGGCAGCTCTTGAAGTTGCCAACTAGTTCTGTGTCAAATTATGTTTTTTGATTTTACAGCTTGCTGTTTAGCCATCCCTCTCAAAGAGCACATATTTGCCATCGCATCTGAAGTGTGGAAGTGAAAGAAATCTAAGGATGACATATTTAGAAACTCAGTAACGGCTTTGCAGCTGCAGCAGAGGAGCCTGCCGCAGCTACAGGAGGCCATAACAAAAACACACACTGGTGATCAGACAGTCCAGCTCGTCCAGCACAGGATATTTATACAGAATTTGGGAGTCAAATGAGTTGCAAAAGGCCAGACAAATGCTGACAGTGTAAAAACATCCAGAACAGATAATTAAGATTAAATAAGCTTGAGTGAGTCACAGAAATGTTTGTGTGTTTGAATGCACACTCAGGTCAAAAACAAGGCAAACATTAGCAGTAGATGCAGAGAGGGAAGTAAAATGTAAGTCAAGTTTAGCTTGTTATTTTAGTGGGGTAGCAAACCACATGATAAGAGCATGCCCTATTTAAGTTTCCTGTCACTCGACTGAAGGTTGGCAACAAACTGATCAGTCTGCAGAGCTTAAAAGAGACAAAAACAATAGGCAACACATTTTGATTCCACCTGAGGTTACCTGAAACCTCAGAGGTAGTGGTGGAAGAAGTATTTACATCTGTCACTAAAGTAAAGATGAAATGTAGAAATATTCCATTACAAGCAAAAGAAAAGCATTCAAAATATTACTTCAGTAAAAGAACACAAGTATACGAAAGATATATTTAAAGTATTAAAAAGTAAAAGTACTCATCATGCAGAATGGCACCTTTTAAAATGTTAAAATGCCATGCTAATGTTAGAAAATACATTACTATGAGTGATGCATTAATGTGTAAGCAGCAGTCTGGTGTTGTAGTTTGTTAATGTGGACTAATCCACTACAGTAAATATTGTACTTTTTCTAGTCACTAGTTACTTTGAAGATAAAGATTTTACATTTCAAACGTATGATCAGTTTATAAAATAGGATGAATTGTTGTAGATTACATTGCCAGTATAAAGAAGTACAACATGTAGTACTTAGAGGTACCCTGTTGAGTGTTTGACCACTAGTTATGGAGCAATGTTTTGACAACAAAGGCAGCTAGCTATGCTAGCTAGCAAACACAGATGTAAACAATATAGAATTTCAAATACTTAACAGTAACTACATAAACATATGTGTTACATATACAAAAACACAGCAGAAGAGACATTTGTTCCCTGAGAACAATGATCTCATACTTGTTATTCCTCTTTTTCTGGGCCTCTTTACCACAAACCCCAACGCAGAACGGATATGGATGAATATGCCTTTTCTGAAAGCTGTTGAACTTTCTGTATCAAATGTTTCTTCATATGCTTTTCGTGATGTTTGACAAGAGCATGCAGACACAGGGTGTGGTGTGACGGCAGCACATTCACACCTTCAAGTCGCTTTGACATAATTGCCAGGCAACCATCTATCTGCCGGCATGAACTCTTAACAAGTGGAAGAATTAAAACCGCAACATCTGCTCTCAGCTGTTTAAATGGCGAGTTTCAATATGATTTTATGTTTAATGGAGTCTTTACAGAAAAACAGAGTTATGATGAATTCAAAAAACACATCCTCAAGTAAATAAAGCTAGTGGCTTTTGGTAATGTTAGGCTTTGATATGATATGCTACAGATATGCTTTTGATATGCTACCTCTAGCAGCCAGCTAATTTAGCTTAGCACAAAGACTTGACACATGTGGTGTTATGCTGTTTAATGTGACCCATCAGATTCTGTCACCTGAGGGCCAAATCCACAGTTGTTTTCCTTCCTCCGTTCATGTGAAGGAGCCCGAGAATGAGGCTGGGCCGAAGGCCGGAAGGCATGGTTAAAGGAAACGCCATCCTGAGCCCCATGGATGGGGAAGACAGCCGGAAGAACCAAAGAACAGGGTATTGTTCTACTCGGAAGTCAAACTTTTGTTGCTGCATGAGCCACTAAACAACTTGCATATGAAACGCTGTATCCAGTTCTCTTTATACATCCATGATTAAGCTACACAGATCCACAAACTAAATTTCAGGTAAATGACCTAAAGGAGTATGCAGCAACTGCTAACCTGTCCCTGGCCATCAGAATAGAAAAGCACACGCAAGCACGGAAAATTAAGAGCCAACTCACATTAACGTTGACTACCGCCCTGTAGCACTCGCACCAATCACAGATAAATGCTTTGACAGGCTAGTCTAGGAGCACATCAAATCTCATTTACCGACCTCACTTGACACCCTCCTGTTTGCATGTATACCCAACCGGTCCACAGGCGATGCCATCTCCTCTGCCCTCCACCTAAACGAGAACACTCACGTGACAATCCTGTTCAATAAGTTCAGCATTGAACACAATCATCCCCCAGAAGCTGGGCCCCCCTACGCATGAACAATTTCCTTTGTAACTGGATCCTGGACTTTCTCACAGAGGGACCCAATACAGTGTGCATTGGGAACATCACCTCCATAGCCACCAAATATGACTCCAATCATATTATACATTTGCAGATGACACAACCCTGGTGGGCCTCATTAGAAACAACATAGGGCTGCCTATTCTTAGTCGATTAGTAATCTAAACAGTCGCTTTGTTCTCAGTCAGCTGAGATCTCTTTAGTCTATTCATCATTTTTGTATGCTTTTTCATACTAAATGTTTTTTTTCTAATGAACTTATAAGACACAAAATTTAAAGTGGTGCTTTTGTGTGATTCTTTGAGGAGAAACTCAGTTTTACTGTTGATTAAATCAATTAATCGATTAGTTGACAAAATCGAGTGTTTGTCGACTAAAAATGTCATTGGTCGAGAACAGTCCTGGACAGCACACAGAGGTGAGGTGGAGCAGCTGACCGGAGCAGTGTCTCAATGTTCATAAGAGGAAAGAGAAGGAAATTGACTTCCACTTCTCATCAACAGATCATGTCTGGAGCAAGTTTCTAGGTGTGCACATCGGTGCTGCTGACCTCAGCTGATCACGCAACTGCATCTCCCTGAGCAAGAAGGCACAACAGCGCTTCCACCATCCTGTCCACCATCTAACCATAGAGTGTCACGACCAGCTGCATCATATGGGAACTGGGACCCCTCCAAAGGACTTCTCACTCTGCTGCCTTCTGTAAACTTCTGTAACCATTTTGATCAAGTTTTTTTCTTTGGCCATTTTGGTGAGTTGAACAAAACACTTTATGGTCTTAGGCCAGTTAATCAATCAAAACATTCAGCATCATCTATAAACTGATCCTTTTCTAAATATAAAAATATTTATCCATAAAATAACTAGTAATGTTAACTGTAGCTGTCAGATAAATACAATTGAGTGAAAAGTACTGTACAATATTTCCCTCTATGGATCCATACCTTTGTTTTAAAGACTGTTACTTTAATAAAATAGAAATTATATCAGCTGGTTATACAAATGTCCAGATTACAAACAAAAAAAGGAAAAACATCAAAAATCACACAAAAGTTAATTTTACTTTATATATAATACCATAATATCAGTCATTTACCCACCCAATTAAATTATCAAACAAATATATATTTAATTGAAAATCTCTAAATTGCAGTGCATCTCTTAACCTGGTATAGCTGCTCAATAGAGACTGCATAGGAGTAACATTAGTGAGCAAGTCTGCTGTGAATGTGCAAAAGAGATGCAGATGCTCAGATGATGTTGTGGAGGAGAGCGACAGCCAGAGCAATGAGGGTCAGCGAGGAGGAACAGACAGATGCAGAAGATCCAGACTCCATGAAGGACTCTGTATGTTTGAGCATCCAGTCCTTCTCCTCTTGTAGTCCCTGTTTGTCCAGTTCAGGACCCACCAGCATCCGTATTGTCTTATAGTATTTATTCAGCCACTGAAGCTGCAGTGAGAAAAGACCACTCTCAATGACAGTCACAGGTGAGCCTAAATATGTACACTGCTGGCATGTGAAAACAGGTATCAAGGAAAGAAGTAATCAGTGGATAACAGACAAAAATAAATAAACAAATATTATTATACTGTATCTTCCTGGTCTAAGGTTAAAAATGGTGTTCCACAGGGATCAATTCTTGGACCACTGTGTTCTGTTCTGCCACTTGGTGAATAGTTTAATCCTTAACAATGCATTCTATTATATTTTGCCATTGTTTAAATATAAAATCTTAATCTTAAAAGTATTTAGCAACTATAGCTGTCGGGTAAATGTAGTAAACTGAAAAATACAATATATTCCTGTAAAATGTAGTGGAATAGAAGGATAAAGTAGCATAAAATCAAGTTTAAATACTTCAGATTTTACTAAAGTACATTAATTGAAAAAATGTACTTAGTTACTTTCCACCACAGATTTTAAGTCTCCAGGTGAAGTTCACAATAAATTAACTGAAGTTGAAGAAAAAACAGGAACTCAATTTGTGCAGCCAAAAAAACAACAGGTTTTTTTGTGCTTGTATGAAAAGTTAATATTTTGTAAACTTGTTATTTTCCGTACAATGATTCTACAAAGAAATCGTATGTGTAGTCTCACAATGAAAACAAAACAGAAGTTAATTTCACACGTGGTTTTGTTTTTTCAAAGAATATTTTGATCTCTGAGCTGCAGAGAAACTTCGACCTGAAGTGTAAAGAGGGGATTTTAAGAGAAAACCACCACTCGTAAAAAACAGGAAAACGAAAGACTCGGTTGATGTCACTCTCTTATATAAAGAGGTATTTACAAATTAAATCAGGAAACTGATCATATCTTTTGGGAAGTAAACTTACATTAAAGCTTGTTAATGTGCATTTATTGAATGTGTTTAATGGTTAACACCCTTTAGTACTCCTTTTTAAAAGAAATGATGGTGAAATTCCAGAAATTCCAGCTCATTTTGCAGTTGACTACAGTTACATACCTGCTCTGAGCTGAGGAGAGTGATGTCAATCAGTTTTCTGTCATATGGAACCAGCGACACAGTGTCAAAGGTCACATAGTTATGACCATACTGAGTGAAAAAAAGCACAGTCACAAAGAAGTTAGATTGAATTTATATCATTCATTAAAAGCATGTAATTATTGACATGATTCTAGATCAGGGGTGGGCAAACTTTTTGTCTCGGGGGCCACATTGAGTTTTAAAATTTGACAGATGGGCCGGGCCAGTAGCCGATGAATGGAGTGTTTGTGTGAACTAATATGAATTACAAGTAAAAGCCATGACCTAAAAAGTAACTTGCATTTAATTTCAGTGGGAACAGTGTTGTTGGTCACCCTTTTTAACCAGTGCGTCAACGTTTGGTGTTAGTTTGGTTGTGGCAATTCTCAGAACAGATCTCAGGTGTTCATCAGTTAGCTGGGATCTTACACTGTATTTTTTTATTGCATTAACACATATTTTATCATGCACCTACTTATTAAGTAGTCATTTTTGACACTGTTTTTAGTGTAAAGGTTAATAACTGTGTTCTTTTTAGCAGTTTGATTCTTTGACTGGATCATACAAATATTTGACTGTCACATTTAACATTATCAAGGTTCTGCTCTGTAAGGTCTTTCCTTGTCTCCCCCCTGTGTCACGGTGTGGGTACATCTCACTGGCGTCAGGAAACGTATCAGAATACCTTTATTTTATTGGCTAAACTGCATCACGTAACGTGATTTACAACGCATTGGTCGGTGTTTTTTCTGCACCGCTGAACAAGTACCGTAAAAGCTGGAAAGGAGCTTGAATAACTCCGCTGCCTAAAGCAAAGGCCCGCGACCCACTAAAAACGGGTCCGCGACGAACCACCAGTTGAGAATCGCTGGTCTACTGGATCGTGATGAGCGGTGTTTGTGTGGCGTGTCTTCCGTCTCTTCCCGTTTCCTTCACCTACATTCCCCTGGGTCCTAAGCCCCTCCATGTACAGCTTCTTATCACCTATTTGCACCAATGTACATTTATAACAAATACCACACATATTACACGGTAATCAGCGTTGCATATGTGTCAAACTCTGTCGGTGCATCTCCGGTCTGTCTTTGTTCATCCTGCATCGCTCTGTTCTGTTCTTTAATGTAACGTAAGTTACGTTACGTAACTGGATCCACGGAGCCTCTCCCAGCTGCTAGCAAACTGTTGTGCTAGCAAGCAGGCTCGCTCGCGAGCTGTACCCAGCATGCAGTTCGGCGGTGAAATTTTATAAATGTATTAGTGTTACAAATTGTTTATGTGTCACAGACTGTTGTGTGCTGTTGTGTTTTTCTCTGTTAAAGAGCGTTAGTTGTGGGTTGTTAATTGTTGTGTCATAAAGTTATGACCATGACTAGGGTTCCCTCTCAATACATATAAGACAACTAGCGCTGACCGCGCAAAGAATACATTTTATCTGCCTGTTGAAAGCAGACAGCGGTTGTTTCGGCTATGCACCAGTATGATGATGTGTGAAGAATTCATATCATACGGGAAATTAAAACCGGTATACTGCCCAGCTCTAGTCTTTATTGTAGTTTGGACAACTTTGTACCAATATTTGACGGGCCGTAGTTTGCCCATACCTGTTCTAGATGATCAATAAAGCTCTGTTTTCTAGCTACCTTTGTGTGTACAGGTACGATCACAGCAACGTCTTCAATCCGGATCCCAAAGTCATTCTCCTTGTAATATCCAGGTTCTTATGTAAAGAAAATCATTAGCCGTTTTTCATTATTTGAACATTTGAGGCATGCTAAATGCAAAGTTCATTTCCTTTCAAATGATCAAAATGTTGTGGTATCTGTAGTGGACATGGATTTATTTTGAGAAAGAATAAACTCTCACCAATAGACGTGAACATGCCAGTTCTGAAGGGAATGTTGTTGCTCTGAAATCCAACTGGCCCTGGAAAAATATTACAACTTTATATCATTCAAATACAGATTACACGCGCAAAACCAAGTAAACACGAATCTTAAAAACATTTCATTGGTGTGAATTCATTTTTACACTAACACAGATCATTGATATTTGCATTTGAACTCTGTTAAGATATGCTTTCAAATGAGCTTTTTATTGATGGATGAAGATGTCACTACACTGGATACGTTTGTCAATTTCATACTGGGGTTGTAAACTTTGAAAACATGTGGAAAATAAAACGAGAGCATACACTCATGAACTCCAAAGTAGTTTCCAACACCGTGACCTGTGCCGTGGCCGTAGTTCAGGCCCACCTCCCACAATGCCCGGCGACCCAGCATCTCCATGTTTACACCTGTTGATAAACAAAAGCCATCCAGAGAGCTCAAATCAAACATCCTGCTGCAGATATATTTCTGTAATTCATCCACTTTAAAACTGGTCAAAACTTGTTGATCAAAAAGTGGAGAAACAGGCCTCCCTGGTGGTGAAACTAGAAAGTGTTTCAGGGTGGAATCCTTGTAAATCTCATTTTAAACATGTATGAACGTTTTTCATTCCCACCTCGTGTCCCTGAGGGAAAGATGGTTCGAGATATCTCAATGTTTCCCATGAGCACTCGAGTGAAGGCCTCCTGTGAAGCCAGACAGCTGGTTAATGCAGGGAAAAGGTATCTAAAAGCAATATTTTGGATTATGGTTTGTGAAAGAACATTACAGCAAAGATTTTTACAGCTAAAAACTCTAATAACAACACAGTTTCTGGCTTATATAATGATGAAGAAAAATAAAGACTAAAGAAAAACATACACAAAGAGATACAGAAAAACTGGACTGATCGGCTGCAGTGTGTTTTGATTGGCAATCTCCTGTGTTAGAGAAAATATAAATATACCTTCAAACATTCACACTTTCAACCTTTCACTATGAGATGTAATGTATTACCTTTTGCATCACTGTAGGGGCTCCCCAGTGAACTGTCCGAGTGATGTCAGTGGTGCCGTCTCTGATAGTAGTGAGAGACATGATGACTCATTTCAAATGCAAATGATGTGATGTGAAACTGGAGAGTCTGTGAACAGAGTGTGTTTTTACTCACAGATACTGGCCGCCAGAGTCCACCAGGTACATCTCATTAACTGTCAACTTCCTGCTCGTTCCTTCTGTAGGGCTGCAAAGAACAGAAAAACAGGAAATAATAGCAGCTCTGCAGATGATCATTGTAGTGCATATAAAGGACCAAGACAGTGTTTTAAAGGCGTTACATTACTGCGGTCCATTTTCTAAACAATGTAGATTGATAGTGGAGAGCTCATAAAAAATGAGCAGTGAGAGAGAGATGGTGATGATAATTAACGGTCCGCAGAGGGACATTGTGATTATTATGGTGGAAAGTAAGTTTTAGTGATTGTTCCAGGTACTGATACTCAAGTACTGTACTTTACCTGAGAGTCATTGTTCAAATATCACCTTTCTATGCTACTTTATACCTCTATTCCACTACATTTCAGAGAGAAATATTGTAATTTTTACTCTGCTACACAGTTAGTTACTAATTTTTATTTAGAAAAACACAAGATATCTTAATGTGATATGATGCAGTACTAATCAGAATCAGCTTTAATGGGTATACACTTACACTTTTTTATTGCTCTCAATGTACATACGCCGAAATAGACATACTGTACTATACGGCTAAGGCAAGGACAAAAAAGCTGAACAAAGAGACACGACTACTTATGTACAAATATAAATGTATGTTATGTATACTTATATTTATATCTGTACATAAGTAGTTAATAATAGTAAAACTACAACACAATGAAACTGTAACGCAATGCAACAGAATCCACCCAGTAGCCTAAAAAACATATAAACATAAAAACAGAATAACTTACTTACAAGTAAAATACTTTTGATACTTTAAGTAGATTTTGCTGATTGTACTTTTACTTAAGTAACATTTTTAAATAAGGACTTGTACTTGTAATAAAGTATTTTTAGAGTATAGTATTTCTACATTCACTTAAGAAAAGGATCTGAGTACTCCTTCCAAGGCCACCACAATGCCTCGTCTCAATACGTTTTGTTTTCTCTAAATCAGTTTACAACTTATTGTATGCTTTGAAAAAGTTTCATCAATAACGTAAGGAACCATGATCCAAAACCACCACTATGGTTTTATACACGTTTGGCATGAAAAAGAAAAGATCAGTGAGAAGAGGAAGAATATAAATAAATCTTACCTGTAATGCGCAAGTGCAGCATTGGGTCCACTTGCAGAGATTGTCTCAAAGCTTGGGCCTCTGCTGTCTTTCTGTTTGCTGTAATGATGTTTATATTAGCCGTGAAAGGCAACTTTGAAGTCAACGTATTTATAACTATTCTAATTATGAAATATGTTTTCACTCATATTCCGACTGAATTTAGCTTGTGAAAGCACTACCTGTTCAGCAAATACACTATCTCAGCTCTCCTCCATCTCGTGTGCACTCACCCGCGACACTTATTGACGTATTCTGCAGCAGTCAGCTCGGTCTCTTTCCCCTCTGGCACTGCCTTCTCCAGCCACATCAGCAGTTGGATAACCGCAACTGCATCCCTCACCTGCACAGAACCACAACGACACAATGACCAACCAGGAGAGTCTCTGCATCGATCACATCACCCCAAATCATACGGACCGATGAGTCGTGTGGTATGTTGCAAGGCTGATCAGACATCTCCGGACAGGATAATAAATGTATCAGGGTGCGTGTTCACTGAAGTGTTCGAGCTCTCGATGAAAACGATACATAAATGTCCCACCAGTCTGACAGTGAAGTCACATGTATGCAAGTAAAGACGGGACCTATATGTGTGGAGGTGAGGTAGAGTTTATAACCTGAGTGTGTCTGTGTGAAGATGACATACATGAGCATCCCTCAAGATCCGCTGCTCAGTCTCATCTTTCACCGCTTTCGTCGTCAACACAGGCGAGTAGGAGCTTGTCATTAGTTTCTCCTAAACGATGCAAAAAACAATCATAATGAATACAAAATATGTATCTTATGGAGTACAGTAAATATTATAAAATAAAATATCTGTGTACCTCTGGTGTAATGATCTCATAAAGTGCGTAGTTTGTGTACTCTGTGCCGATCCACACTTTAACCCCACTCTGTGCCACATACTTCTTCAGGTGATGTCGGACAGTGTCGTAGCTTTTCAGCTGCACACAAAGTGACCCGTTACAGGAGGCGTTCAGGTACACCCTCAATTCCTCTGTCACTCTGCCCGTGTGGAGAAAGAGCCTGGGAGATGTGGATATGCAGTAGAGGGGAAAGGTTTATACAAGAAAAATGCTATATGTCCTTATATACCTAGTATATGTGATGGGACAGAACAGAGACATAATGAAGAGAATTTCAAAGGAATCACACATGTTCACACATGCAATGTCTGGAAAATGGACTGACCAGATCTCGTCCATTGTGAGCAGTGTGTAGGAGTAGAAGAAGGGATTGTACGGGATGTCGTTGCCGCGAAGATTGAACAGCCCTAGAAATCAAAAATATACACCGTCCCTGACTGTCAGCAGCGGCTCGTGCATTCATTTACATCATCTGCTTCCTCCACTTGATTGGAGACATGCTGTTTATATCTAATGTTTGTGTCTGATAGATGTGACTTCTTCTGTGTTCCTGTCATTGAAAACAGACTTGCTAATCCTGAAATCAGAAGTCAGAGAAGGTCTGAAACCCGTTAGTGCTTCTGTGTGAGTTGTAAGAACGATGCTTTCGAATAAGTCACTGTTCTTTTGCAAAGTGGTGAACTGAAAATCCAGTATAAAAACAGTAAATCTAATCAGTTTAATAATATGATTACTGACGATAATAAAGGATTATAAGAAAGTGATGTTTATTTCTGTCTTTTTGAATATCTTGTTGAAAGGACAAGAGTATTGCCCATTTAAAAACATCTGTTGTCTGTTTCCAATATTTTTATAATTTTGTGTTACATTTCCTGTCAGTCTGATTTTGTATCATAATTCTTCACATCAGACTGCAACACCTCCGGCTATAGTTTGATCCTTAAAGCTGTGGTTGTATTTTGGCTTTGTTTGCCTCCTGTCATTTTATTTCGATGCAAACTGTCATTTCAGATTACCCTGACGCTAGCAAAACTCAGCACATATTTAGGGACTGCAGCCACAAGGTGGCCTACAAAAAAAATAAATAAATGAGCCATGTGGGTTTACTTTTCAGCAGTTTTTGAATGTTTTGTGTGCTTTACTGTAAAACTGTATCCTGTTTTAACATTATCCATCTTATCATCTTATTTTCAAACCAATATTACTCTGATTGTTTTTGTTACATGGTTCAGGTTCTTCTTTTCATAACTGACAATTATAAAAAAGTTTGTTTGTTTTATTAATACATGTTTTTTTGCATCTTGTGTGTTTGCACCTTCTCTTAAGGTTATATTGTATACATTTTGTTTAAAATCATCAGATATGATCTTATTTTTGTAATGTTTTAATAGTGGGATGTAGTTCTGCACATTTAAGTCAATTTAAAAAAGTTATCTTGAGGGAGAAGTCAAGTTCTGTTTCTGTGGTGAACTGCGTGTTCAACTAGATGCTTTTATGAACTGCAATACATTCACATTATCAACGGCGTCTTTCAGGGAATTAAACTGTGGTTTGACATACATTTTTCTACAACAGCAACACGATTTATAGAAAGCTTTATGGAGTTAGAGTTACTTACAGGCTGTTTCATCCAGAGCTGACAGCAGAAGAGCTGTCGGTTCGTATGGATTGTCTCTTATCTGATTCCGTATGTGCTCCACTTTCATCTGCCAGGACCTTTCTGCAAACACACACATTCTGCTTGTATTTGCATCCACATGAAAATGTATACCTTAAATAGACATTTAGTAATATTATGTATGTTCACCATCATCGTATTAGACCGGCATTACATTTTTTGGCCACTAGGGCGCAGCGCAACATGCTGAAAACACAACAACGACATATTATCTTATAAAGTTGATGTTGTGAACTTCAAAGCCAACAATTTTCTACAGTACTTACACATTCAGCAGACACAGAGTAACATTATCCTTCATTTGGAGTTGTGTTTGTGTCCAAAATTGTCTCTCTTCTCAGCTCTGTTTTAGTCTCCTCAAACTTTAGAGGGACATATCCAACCACTGAGGTTCTAAATGTTGCACTATGTTCACCAGCTAACCGCTAACTGTGCTGTTTGCCATGTGGTGGGCATGGTAGCATACAGCGACCTGCTGCGGCTAAAATGAGTTTGATGATTGCGGTGGCAGTGAGGCCTGACAGAAAAGTTGCAGGCTCTAAATTCAAAACAATTAAGCTTAAAGATGCCAACAGGCCCTTAGATGGTATCTGCAGAGAGCAACACCTTTTAAATTACACGTTATCTAACCCATTGTGCCAATAAAAATATTGATTAGTGCAGCTCTAAGGATGGGAATAGTATTGCCTTCTGTTAATGTGATGCTTCCTGCTATGTGCAGACACATATCCTTGATTTTTCAGTAACTTTTCTTTGACATTCCTGTTAAAAACTGCTTATCTTGTTATGAACTCTAATGCCAAATATAAGAGCAAAATGTCATAACAAACTATGAGAAAGCATTTATAAAAGACTCAAACACAGACACACTCACACACACACACACACACACACACACATACAGACCATTGTGTTTATGATGCTCTACATTTGTTCCACTTGTCGATTCTAATACCATAAAGACTAAAAGGTCTATGAGCGTCCAGACAACTTCCTTTTCCCCGAGAATTTTCCACTCTCTCAAAGTTAGCACTTGATCTTTCAGCCAGCCATAAAAACATAAACAGGCTGTTTATGGGTGTGTTTGTGGAGCCGCTTACTGCTTTCTGTCCAGTTTACAGGTATTTATCAGCACAAAGATAAAGGACACCACGCAGGCAGACCAGCAGACTGCAGAGTGTGTGTACAGCACAGACAGAAGGAAACCCACGTGTGACTCTATCGGGCAGGCGGGTGAGGTTGTCAGGAGGGACAGGCGGTCTTTCCTCCCACACTTCGTCAACCAGGTTAACAGGGACGGACTTGAGGCTACGATTGCTCGAGTCCAGATTGAGGCTGTAGTCCTCCTGCGTTTCTAATGGAGGAAATTGCAGATGATTACACACATCGAGCCGAATCAATCAAAAGTAAACAGTCTGTGTGGCGTCTGGAGGCTCCATTAATAATTTTCCATCTACTTGGGCGAGCACTTTATTGCCGTTAACCTGGACTGACTCACTGAGGGAGAAGAGGAAGGAATCAAAGCCGATCTCGCCGCCTGGTGGGACCTCAGACATCAGCCACTCTGCTACACTGCTGATGGACACTGGGGGACATCACACATGACAGAATCAAGTTATTATTGACTTTAGAGGATCCATTTGACTTACCTGTGGTGAATATTGTGATACATCATAGAAATATTAAAAATATTTTTTTTAGTTTTTTTTTAGATGTGTATTAAATCAAATCAGCACAAGTTGCTTTGCCACGAAATGCGTCAATTTAATTATGTTTCAGATAACACATTCTATACTAATACAAACCCTATAACCACTATGAACCTACACACGACCAGAAAGCTCAGTGCTCGGCCTCAAACACATTTGTTTCCACTGAAGACGTGTATGTGTTGTGTTGTTGGGTTGAACTCTCTTTGCCACTGTACCAATCCTCGACTGACGACAAGTCATAAAAAGCTGCTCTCTAATAAATTTTGTCCTTTACAAATGTCTAAACATCAGCATCATATGTCGGTGTTAAAAGTGTTTTTGCAAGACAAAACATGCAGTGACTTTTAGTTTGTTTGTGAGCTATTTCTATCATGTAAGTCCTGTGATAATGGGTGCAGCATTTGTCAGGATATTTTTAGTCTGATCATCAAGACCAAAAATATTTGATTGGTATCCATATGTCCTGCGTTGTCATAACAAGCAATCACAATGTGATCACCCTCCCCACCATCTTTTTCAAGGTCCCAGTTGCAATCCATCTGCCTCTCGGCTTGAACCCAGTAGCGGCTGTCTGTCCACAGAGCGGCCTTGGTCTGAGTAACTACGGCGGTGCCTGAGGAGAGACAGGACAGCAGCTGCGTTAGGTAGAGCTCAGCATCGACAGTAAATTACAAACGACTGTAAATGTCAGAGTTGACTTGCAACAATGCGTGATTGGCCAGCTAATCTTGAAACATGTGAGCATGTGAAGAAGAAACACTGTGGAGATGGCAGCCTGGTGGAGAGTGGTGGATGTGAGGCCTGGCATTATCATTCCACTGTTGTACCTCCATATGAGATTGAAACACTTAGGTAACAACTGCTGAATCTAAATTTTGTCCGATTCCTAATGGAGGCCCAGAAAATGCGACTTTTCTTTCAAGAGTCTGGCAGAGGTTTGGCCTGGTGAAAACAGCACTTTATTTTATTTTTCGGTCCTCTTATCCTTTCATGCACGGAACAGCTGAGTACAGAAATATCTATGATCATTAATTTTGTTCTCCATTACTGCGTGAAAATATATCTCATGATCTAATGGTGAAGAACCTCTGCGATGGAGAACGTAGATGAATGACAAGATGCAATGATGCAGCGAGTGAAAACGATGAAGCTAAATGAACGATGAGATGGCTGTGTGGTGAGGATGTGGGATGAAAGTAGAGGAGCTGCATGACCGCGGCATTCAGATGTGGGGAGTTGAGTCATGGAGGGGGAGGAGGACTACGACAAGGACGACGACAAGGACGACGAAGAAGACGAAGAGGAGGAGGACGAGGCAGAGAAAAAAAGGAGGCAAAAAGAGATAGTACCTGCAGAGCCTGTAAAGCCGGTCACGAAGGCCATCCTGGCATCACGTGGTGCGATATACTCACTCTGACAGAGAAACAGAGGTTAGCATCTCACACACACACACACACACACACACACACACACACACACACACACACACACATGGTTTAAACCCAGATGAATTGATTATGACGGACAGCAGATGTACCAGGTGAGCGTCAGTGCCAGGGATAATGTAGGCAGAGATATTCAGGGGAAGCATTAGCTCTCGTAAGTTCTGCAGCCGTAGAGTGGTATTTACTGCTGTGCTGGGGAGGTACTGTAACACACACACACACACACACACACACACACAAAGGCAGAGAAAGAAAATGAGTGTGAAAAGTCTTTCAAATGTAATTAAAACCTGCAGAACTGCTGATTCATCCCTTGCTGTATCTCCCACTGTAATCATTAACTGTAGTGCATGTGCAGTAATCATTAACTGTAACGAGATAAAACTCGTGCAACATGTTTCATAATGGGAAAATGCTGTGTGACTTCTTTGAAGTCAATTTTATGACATCATTTCTGCAATTTGTTTATTTTAATCACAGTACTTCCATTGACTTACCGGGGGTGACAGGGAGCAGTTCCTCTCAGTTTGCGCATATGCAACAGCACCAATAGTGTTTCCTGAAATTAAAAAGCGCACAGTGAGAAAAAAAGACCTTGGAAAGTGACACAAAGTAGTGAACGAGCTGAGCTGTCGAAGCACATTTTCAGATAACCCTAGAGTGCTGCTCTTTTATTTATTTTGGTGATTTATCGTGTTGAATCTTTTCAGACACAGTGATTGTCAGAGTGGAATCAATGCAACTCAGGATTTATAAGCACGCAAAAAACCCTTCTCAGTCAAAGTAAAGGACACAGGATAAGTTCAAACAAGGCAGCGGAGCAAAGAAATAATGATATCAATCATAATAACCACAACTTGTCTAATGAGAGTAATGCGATCAATCAAGAGACTGCATTCCAATCATGTCCATGTTAAAAATGATTTGTCCAATCTGAAAAAAGGAAGATTATGAGACAGATCTGTTACATCCTTTTTAGATGAAATTTTATGCAAAGAAATCCTGATCAGTAAACGAACAAGAGATGGCAGATGGCAATTTCTGATGCCCCTTTTTGCAAGCTATTTTTAATACATGAAATCAAATCTGACATATGATCCGTTTTTTTAAATAGGCGCAAAGTCTTCACACAGCGATCAGACACTTGACACTCACACTCCGACAGATCAGCGAGGACAAAGAGGAACTTTTTACCTGTTAGTGCTGCCAGAGACAGAGCCAACAACAACCAGCCATAGGAAGGCATCTTGGCACTACGAGCCCGTCACGAGCAGATCCAAAGACAGAGGCTACAAAGCAGGTGCTCCGATGTGTATGCAGCGTATGTGAGAAAGTGTGTGTGGGTGTCTGATGAGAAATTGTGTGTGGGTGCCTGCTTGTAAGTGCATGACTGTCGTCTCTCTCTCTCTCTCTCTCTCTTCCTATCTCTCCTCCTCCTCTGCCGCTATCTCCTCTCTCTGCGGCCCTTAGATAGGAATCATGTGCAGTGGCTTCGGGGGTGGATCTTGGTGCTCAGAAACATTGCTTTCTGGCCTAAAATACAATGTGTGTGTGTCAAATGACCTCCCACCTGATTTTTTTCCCCCCTGCATCGTGTTGCCCAATGTTTTTTTTATTGTGTTGTGATGCAACTCAGCGGCTGTGGGTTGGGTATTCCCACGTCTTCTGGAAAATGTGTTTTTGATCAAATAAAAAGAGACTCGAGTTGTTTTTATCATGATTATTTACAGGAGAGATGCTAATAGTGCATTCAAAAACATGGACAAGGCTGGTTTATATGCAGCGCATAAGTGACTGGAGAGTCACATGGATGTGTTTGTGAATTTTCATCTTTTGCTCATGAATGTATGTATGTATGCACGTAAGAGGCACGTCCCAGTAATCCTGCAGAGATTTCCATAGAAAACATATTTTTTAAAATCCTTCTATTCAAGTCCAATGTATGCTGCCATCTGGCAAAAAGAAGAAGAAGCGAGAAAGGAAAAGGAGGAGGAGGATGTCTTTTATCGTACTGGAATTAAGTTTTTCACATAATTTTATTCTTGTGCAGTTTGACATTTAAGGAGAACCGCTTTGAGTTTGTCAAGAGTAAAATGGGAAGGTCTCATGTCTGACTGTTATACATACACAATATGAAGGTACAACCAGCAGCTGGTTAGCTTAGCGTAGCTTAGCATAAAGACTGGAAACGGGAAAACAGCTATCCTAGCTATCCTAATTTGCCTACCTCTAAAACTCATACCTAACACATTCTATCCCGTTAGTTTAATCCGACAATTCAAATCCAAAAGTGACAATTCCATTTTCCACTCGCTTTGATTATTGTTGGTGTTTAATTTGCCGCCTTCTGTGAAGCACTTTGTAACTTTGTTTTAACTTTGTTTTGTTTTCTACAAACATTATAACATTATAACTATTATTATAATTATCATTATATAAACAGACAGGACTCTGGGAACTCTTTCGTCACTTTGCCAATTAGTCAGTGCAAGGAAAGGAAAATATAAAACCTCTATGTATCCTTAGAGTGGCCTGGTTTATTAATCCGGTACGTACGGCTTGGGATTTAATGACATTGCAACTACTTGATGTGAATATTTTCTTTTAGGTAACACCTCTTCTGTGCACTGGGATCCACTGGCTTTGATCACGACTTCAAAACCAGCAGACCTTCTGACTACAGTGCTGTAGTGCTGAAATAAGACATGAGTAATACACAATGATCACAGAGCTGTGCCTCTTAAATGACCTCTTCTTTCATTAGGGGGTGATTGAAATGTATCTTAGTGAGTTGTAAAGGTGTCTGTGGCCCTGTAGGATGAGCTCGGTGAACCCTTTTAATTAAAAACAAGAGATATAACGGATTCCCTGTGTTTTATGAACAACTAGATGATCTTAATGTCCTACAAGTTATTGTTTGCTTGTATTTATCAAAGAAAAGACATGAACATATAGTACCATAAATGTGAGATATTGCATTCAGGTGAGAAATAGGGTCCTTTTCTCTTGGACTGCCATACAATCGGACTTCTTTCTTCTTCTTTTTGCAGAAGTCTTTTTCTTTACTTGCTGGCCTGTAGAGAGAATGCACTGTTGTCAAGGGGGACATTGACAGAGGGCTGATTAACGGACTCTGTAGCCATGCAACATTTGGTACAGACGTTCATGGTCCCCAATAGGTTTCTTCAATAAGGACACATGTCCTATTTGACCCCATGCTCTTGGATCAAAAACAATAAATAAAATGTCATGCTGATAAAGATAATGCAGTGGAAATGTGCATTTTGCTGAATTTATAAAGAAAGCAAGTAAACATGGAGAACATTTTTAGTTTGCATCAACTACAAATAAAAAAAAAATAAAACATGGTGAGCTATAAACAAAAGCTTGACAAAGGCACGTTTCAAATGAAAGCCTCTGCAGTCGGAGTAAATGAAGGTCTCTGCCAATATTTGACAATCTATGGTATTCATTTGCACTTCAATTTGGCTTGTCTTCCATCCTTATTACATCCTAAACCATGATACACAGCTGTCAGTGTTTGGCCAGCTGTTATTGTGCATTGAAATGTGAACCCATTATTAGTCATAAAGCTTGTTTAGTTTGCATAATTCCTTGATAATTCCAGTGCACAAAGAAGAGCAGATGGACAATAAAAGCAATAAACAGTAATCACACAGTAAAAGTGATGATTCAACTTTGACTCCAAGGTTGTAAACGGTTGATGGGAACACAGTCGTGAGAAGGAGTCACATGTTTTATCTAACTAAATGGAACGCTCTCTCTGTGTAGGTATATGTATGGCTTATTATTTACTGATAACTGCAGTTCAATTGTATACTAAAAATCACACTGATAATTTAATCCAGTTCCATAAGTATTCAATCGTATACAATCTTACTCGAATAAAAAGGTGTTTACAGTGCACATATTGAGATATTGCTTTATACAAAGTGTTTCTACATCAGCATTAACTTACACAGAGTGACCAGTTGGGGGTGTAAATGCTCCATGGATATTCACAAAAAATCATATTGTTAGGAAATGTGAAGCTAATCTGTGACAGCTGGTCCAAGTCCATTGCATTTAGCAGAAACGTGAAGAAAGAAAATTCATATAACTTTAAAATTTATAAATATGTCCAAAGATGAAAATCATATTTAGACAATAATAGAAGTCATAAAGTATTATCACTGATAAAGTAAACACGATAGACTTATTTATGGCCTTATCTGTTGCTGCCCCTTCCCTCTGAAACACTCTCCCCAGCACCTCAGACATTCTCCGTCACTCGCCACTTTCAAAACTGCACTTAAAACTCATCGATTTAAATCTGCTTTCAACCTGTGATGCTAGTTATGTATGTTTTTCTTTTATTCCTTCATGTTATGTGACCTCTCTGCCCTTGTTTATATTGTTATTGCTTTTATTGTTTTCTGTTTTTACCATGTAAAGTGCCTTTTTGAATAAGTGCTATACAAATAAAATGAGTTATTATTGTTATTAGTATTCATCAGAGTGCAAAACAAAAGTAGAAAAAACACAAAAACACACTTTTGTCATTAATTGTACATTGTCCAAATTCCACACTGTAAACAAATAGTATGCAATCATTTTCATAGTCTCTTTTTGCAGTGAGTATTAAAAAAAGAAATATACTATCCTAGTATACATATTTCTTGCAGAAAATGTTAAACTACGCCCAGATGTCAATCAAGCTGAATCTTTTGAGAATGTCAAAGAGAGAAATAAAATCGTTCTTTCAAAGATTTAAAGGCCCTCAGACTGTGAGACTTCTGCTCAGGTTAAAGGTGGGCAGAGCTATGAAATGTGTGAGGTAACAGCTAATAAGAATGATTAAGTTGTAATTTGTTTGAAATCGCATATTAACCCACTGCATACTCAGTCAGCTTGTACCGCATACTGCTGACTAAATGAATGATCAAATATGAGTTTACCAGCAGACTGTTCACAATGAAGTATGCTCAAGCGACGGCCCTGAGCAGAAAATGAAGCCGCTCTCTCCCTCCGTGTGTTCTTATCCGAGCTTCCCCTTTGCAGCTGGTAAAGGTGGCTCATTTTGATGACTTCATATACTACTGGATAGTCAATAAAGTCTTATCTTCATCTATAATAATACATCAACATGTATTTGTTTAATTAACTAATCGGCAAAGTAACTTAAGTTATCAGATAAACGTAGTGGAGTAAAAAGAAGAATATTCCACCACTGGTAAGTACTCAGGATTTTGTGGACCTTATTGTAATGACACACATGAACACACGGGGTCACTAGTGTCCAACATATTCCACCTCCAACCCTCTCCTCAGTCTGAGTGAACACTGTTCTTGAAAAAGCTGTCTCCAGTATAGGTGCTCTCATTCACAAGCAACATAAACTGGACACAAGGCAGTGTTTGTGTGTTTGTGTGTGTTTGCGTGCATGTGTGTCTGTGTCTGTGTGTGTGTGTGTGTGTGTCAGGGAGATTCAGTGTCAGCCATCGGCCAAGCTGTAGCCTGGTGATGAGACTCAAAGTTATGGACCAATATTAATAAATGGTAGCCCTGGCAACAGTGTTCAGAGTGTGAGTCAGAGGAGCTCAGGCAGAGGGGAAGGCAGGGCACCGTGGCCGAACATGGATGCTCTCTGAAAACCACCTCCAGTGTCACATCTGTGCTGAACAAGAGTTTAGAGGACGGGCTGAATTATGATCAAATCAACGTGAAATAATTGCATCTCTTCCAGCAGGGGAATCATTTTCGGGGTTTTGGCACTGAGGGATTCAGAGATTTGTTTGTTTTGTGCGGGTTTAAGTCAACACATATCCAACACACAGCGCTGCAAAAACCAAAGCAATTACATTTAATGACTTGTGAGGCAGTGTTTGAATGGTGACATGAAGGATTGGAGTGCAGTAAACAGTCAAGGAAATACATCACGGGTGTTCCCCCCCACTGCTCTGGGATTGTTGGGATGTACTGTGGTTGTGATGCACATTCTCCTGGATCTCTGATGAATGGATGATATTTCTAAAGTGACCCTAATGGTTGTTAACTGGGTATAAATCAGTTAAACTGCTGCAGACAATGCACGCCAACCTCCAGAGCCCTACTAGTCCTTCTAATGTGGTCTACAGAGGGACAAAAGATTGTATACAGTCAAAGCTAATGAGGAAAATTTGAGACAGCTTGAGAAAGAGAAAGGCTGTAAATATGCACAAGAAAAAAGGAGTTAATTAGAACCAGTCTCGTCCTGTTATGCAGTCGTATCAAGGGTTTTGTGACCTCAGTCACGTATACACAGTGCAGTCCTGTATGCAGCCGTCAGTCTCTGTGTAAAGTAAACAACAACTAGCCATGTTGGGGTCACCCACTTCCAATCCTCGAGCTGCCTTTGTTTGCAATGCCACTGCAGAGGTTGGGGAAAGCTGATTACAAATC